ATGAAAATGATATAGAACTCAAGAACCACAAGAACTTGTTATGGATTAGAATGGGATTATGAATAAGGATAAAAGGAAAGAGAAAGTAAAAGAGAAAGTAGACAAGAAAAGCAAAAGAGAGGATGAGTCGGATGACTGCTGATCTAGGCAATGGCATAGCCTTCTGGACCATGCCTTTTTCTTTTTATATTTTATATTTTTACCTGTTTAGTACGGAGTAATTAAGTACTCCGTATCAGAAAACTAGTTGGCTGTATCTAGGGTTGGACTCAGGCCGGGTCGGGTCCGGGCCGGGCCTAGGCCCGGATGGGCCACCGAATCTGAATAGTTGGGCCCGGGACCGGCCCGGGACAGGCCCGGGCCTCGGGTTTGGTTATTTTTTTTGCTTTCCTAAGTATCTCTGACCCCCCTCACCCCTCACTCCCCACCCCCCCAAACCCTTCCCAAACATCAAGCCCAACCCGGGTGGAACCAAAAAAACAAACAAAAAAAACAAAAAAAAATCAATTTGGCCCGAACCGGACCGGGCCCGGCCGGGCCGGGTCTCATTTTGAAGAACCATGCCCGGAACCGTCTCCCCCTCGGGCCAGGTCAAAGCCCGGTACCCGGACCGGTGAACCGGGCCGGTCCCGGGCCCGCACAGTAGCAGGCCGGGCCGGTTCACGGGCCAGGTGGCTCGACCCGAATCCACAACTGGTTGTATCATATACGAAGTTACGAACTCGATCAGAAATTCAATATGAGAAGACATTCCATTCCTTATAATTCAAATTATATTGAAATCATCAATGATTTATTCAGATTATACTGAAATCATCAATGATTGAGTTTAATATAACAAGAGAACAAATAATATACTCCCTCTGTCCGCTAGAAGATTCCCGTTGGAGGTTAACGATGCTTGACTGACGATAAAGCATATTCAGAAACTACATTAAAACCGCTACAAAGTCTAATAAAAAATGTAAATTTGATACAAATTTGATTTATAAAATAAAAGATTAAAAATGATTTAAGTTGACCATGTGAATAGTGGACGAGAACCTTCTAATGAGACGGAGGTAGTAACTAGGATTATGCACTATGTTTAAGAAATCGGACTGGGAATCGACCCGACCGCGTGATCGGGTCACGGGTCAACCCGGACCCGGTTGGCTCAACGCGGTGAACACTATAAAATCAGTCAACCATTTAACAATATTAAAATAAAAAGTAGTTATTTCATAATATTCAACTGATGATAATACTTACTAAACAATTAAATGTTTAATAAATCTCTTAATATTCCAAAATGCCATTTTGATCTTATGAAAATATATAATGATACTCCATATTTGTTATTTTTATTGGACATTTATTATATAATTTGACATGATTTTTATTCTTAAACATATAAGTAGTATGTAAATATATTGCATATTTTTTTTCTTTTAAGAGTATTGAAATTGCAATTTTATTGGTTAAAAATGCTTTAGTTTTTTTTTTAAATGGAAAAACAACCAAAACCCCGGGGTTTTCCAGGGTTTTCGGGTCCGGGTTTTGCCGGGCAGCCGAGTTTTTCTAGTTTTTGACTATTTCCGGGTTTTTAATTAATTGAACCGGATTTTGGCCTGGATCGTCGGGTTTCGGATCGATCCAGCCGGGTCGGGTCGGGTTTTTAAACATAGATTATTCATGGGAATTTTTGATATTTTTTTGTATCTTAATTCTTAGCTTTTCGTTTTCTCAGGTGGTGCGATAGTTAGTCTTTACTTGGGGCTGTTTACTTTCGAGTTAATGGACTTAATTAATGAGAACAATGACTTAATCGTTCAGTCATTAAGTCATGTTTGCTCACTAAGACGTCTATTAAGACGTTTTTCCGGTCAATTTTTTTAAATTGATTGAGGAATTGATTTATATTAACAAATGAAGTTTCTTATTGACTTTTACTCCATTAGACCGTCTATTCAGTACAAAAAGTAAACAACTTCATGTACAAATCCACTTAATCTAGAGAGACATCTTAAAAGAAGATTTTAGATAAAGTTAGATCCTTTTTCACTATCGGAACCATTAAAGTTACTGTAAAACATCTTGAATTAATTTTTTCCTCGACAAGAGTTGTGATAAGTTGATAACATTATTCTTTCTACTAGAATAAAATAATTTTCATTCTTCTCTTTAAATGTAAACCCTTCTTTCTTTTTATGACAATATTTTTTGTTCCTTTCATCATAATTTGTAGGCACATTATCTCCATTCTCTTAACTTTTGTGTCAAGTCAACCTAGTAGTCATTTGTGAAACCAAAATGGTATACATTTATTCGTGAAACTACATTTTAAATTTAATTAAAGTCCAAATTCAAAAATAATAAAAACTTGATACATAAAATCGAAGATTAAATAACAGTAGTTCTGCATGAATTGTAAACATGGATTTTAAATATGGCAGAAGTCGAATATTTCACAGGGCCAAAACGCAGCTCCTTCTCTTTCCCTCCGCATTTAACTGTAAAAACTCATACCAATTAGGAGCTCGGTTCTAAAAATCGTTCTAGGCGCCCGATTAGTCCCCGCCTAGGCGCTAGGCGGTGGCCGGACGCCTCGATTTTCGTCTAGGCACTCCGACTAAATGGTTTGCCGCCTAGGTGAATTAGTCGCCCGCCTATAGCGACTAGTTGCCCGCCTAGAGCGCCTAATCGGCCGCCTAGACCGTCTAAATTTGTTGAACATTACTTTACTTTTTAATTTTAATTTCCAAGTGATATACGTATTTTAACTTAAGCCATGGATATAAAGAAATGAAGTTGTAAATTAAGATAAAACTATACACGTTTGTATATATTCCTAAATTTTATCATTATTTATATTTATAACACAATGAAGTTAAGTGATTAGTTATCATATACTACATATGATTAAATGTGATAATTCTATCTTTCATGTTTGTTTATGTATATGTATATATGTATTTTATACACACAAAAATACAATATTACTTATCATATTTATGCAAAAATATAGATAAAAATGCAATTTCTATGTCTCCGACTAGTCTCCGACTAGTCCCCGACTAGGCGCCCGCCTAGCCGCCTAGCCGCTAGGCGCTGGGGTGGCGCCCGAATAGTGCCTAGCGCCTTTTAGAACATTGATTAGGAGTAGAGAGAAGTCTTCTCTCTAGAACTTCGGTCCTCCTAGTGTTTAGCCGCTAGGGTAGTTCTTCCGATATCGGCACTCGGCCGGTGATCGATTTCATAGTTACAGGAAGAAGATTCAGGCGTAGAGCAGAGAAGGAGTTTCTGGTGCAGGGCAGACTGATTTCGCAAGGGCCGAGAGTGAAGGTTGGAATCGAGGGTTTCGACTCGGCCGTCGTCTTTACTGCATGGAGGATATAATTGCTCTATACAAGAAGATGTCGATGACAGAGCAGGTCCACGAGCTTAACTTCGATGAGGAACCAGAAGTGGGAGGCGAGGAGGAGATCGAGAGAATTAGAACCAGCGACATATCCGGTGGTTGCGGTTGTTATCTCCGACCGTAAGGTTAAACTACCCGGATTTCAGGAATTGATGACTTCTCTTTGGAAGCCAGGGAAAGGTATGGCTATCAAAGAGATAGGCGAAAGAAGGTATTTGCTAAAATTTGGATATGAATCGTGTGATTGAGGATGGTCCTTGGCTTTTTGAGCGAGATTTAATATTGTTAAAGGCTGTGGAGCCAAATGATATACCGGAATCCATGAACTTGTTTGAGGCTAGCTTTTGGGTACAGGTTCATAATGCTCCTATTAAGTATAGGAATTTAAGATCTGCCAGGAAAATTGGTAATTTTTTTCTGCTCTTTTATTAAATTTGAGATGTGCCATTTTGATGGAAAACAGACTTCTTATCTGTGAATACGAGTGTGTTTGGATGTTCGCCAACCTTTGAAAAAAGGTACCAATTTGACACAGGATGGGATGAAACATTGGGTAGATTTTAAATATGAAAAGCTACCTAGTTTTTGCTTTATTTGTGGTATTATCGGGCATTCTGACAAATTTTGTCCATTGAAGTATGAAGAGGACTTTGTAGCTGAAAAAATATATGGGGTGGGGCTTAGAGATGGAGGAAGGGTGAAGACTAGCCCGACAGGATTTAATAAATAGTTATCTGATGGAGCCTCTAGCTCAGATGGATTTGGAGGTCAGAGGAAGTCTGATCTCGGGGGAGGAAATACGGCTGAGTCCAAGACTAGTAAGCCATCACTGCATGAGAGTGAAGACAGGGAAGAGACCCCGGGGAACCAAAGCATAGAAGGAGGGATGACCAGACTGAAGAAGGTGCCGATGGCGAAGGAATGGGTCTGGATGGGCCAAGAAATGGGGAGGGGGCGGGTCAGGGCTCCTAGACTCGCCTTATCTCTGTTGGGTGGTGGTGGGGAAGAAAACTTACAATGATGTTTTTATTATTGCCTGTTTTGGTTACTTTAATTTAGGTTGCTTTATTATGTTTTTCTTTTGTTATTTCATTCCGTGTAAGACTCTTGCATTAAGGTTGGGGAAGGGAAAGTCTGCGGTAACCGTCATTGGTTTTAAGTTGCCCAATTTCGGTCTAGCGAGCTATACTGTTTTTTTTATAGGTGGTTAGCTCTCAATCTCGGCCACAGGCGGATGGTTATTTGTGGTTCTTTTCTAGCTTTGTACCCTTGCTGAATGCTATTTTTATGAATTAAGCCTTCTTCGAGCAAAAAAAAATATGGCAGAAGTCGTCCATAGGATATTTTATAACTTGACATTTCTAGCTAATACGACATCTGTCCCAATTTGATGTACCGGATCTTATTCATTAGGTCAACACAAATTATTTTTAATCTTTTACTTTATATATCAAATTTTTATAAAATTTGATTCTGGTTTTTGTGACTTTGTAAAGTTTTTAATGTAGTTTCTCAATATGAAATTTTTTTCTAAAAATAATTTGAATGCGGACGGAGATTTGTTTGATTTATCATTGGTCAAAAATCGTAAACTAATAAACTGGAATCGTATGATCAAATTCGGACAGAGAGATTATCTTTTATTATACAAAGCCAAAATGAAAACTGCACAGTGTTCCCGCCCAAACACTGTGCAGTAACGGGTTGGATTGGCTACAATGGGTCCAAAGAGGGGTCAGGCTGGAGTCAGGCTCTCTGGTCAGCTGCTATGATTTAAAGTAGGCTCAATATCCAATGCATCAGTTTGTTGGGCTCAAGAAATGAAATTAGTGGCTCTTTAAAAGTACATTTGCTTTTAATATCTCTCCTCCTTTCGGAAAAGTAAGCTGCAAATATTAATAAAAAAAGACCAGCATCGTACTTAATCTTGGTAGCCACAATAAAAACCCCGTGCGATCCTTGAGCCACACAACCATTAAATGCATTAGTACTATATTTGAAATATGAATACTACATTAAATGTTTGCACTGCAAAATAAAAAATTAAAGATTATGTAGGAATTTGACCATTGGTTAATAACCCGTTGCTATGGAGTACAAGACTCTCATCCAGCCCTATAAGTACCCAAGTCGGGGCTCAACAACAACACAACCAAGCCATTCCAAGTTGTTTTCCATTAAGAAGAGGTATTTTCGTTGCTCTAAATTCTTGCAAAAAAACCTTGAAATAAGATTTCATGCTTTTTAGTAATATTCATTAGGTTATGAATCGCCAAAATTGTCACAAATAGGAGATTAATGATACGAGTAATGACTTGCAACAAACATATTGGGATAAACACACATTCTTGGCAGGATTCTAACATTGGCAGTTTGATAAACACACATTAATTGCAGGATTCTGGGAATGCACGACTCCAAACATAAAATCAAAGATAACAAAAGGTAAATCTCACAGGTAAATCAAAGACTGTTTTAGTAATGAGTTTAATATACCATAGATTGTCCATCTGGGATTTCACGGTGAAGGTAGTCATGGCAAAGAAGATGCCACCTTAACCCACGGGTTTTAATGGTGTTCATTCACTCGGAGGTAGTATGACACCATTATTTTTCTACTACAGTTGACAGAAGGGTATTTTAAGAACAAATGTCAATTTTTATTGCAGGGAGATAAAAATTTGTAGTAAAATCAAGAGGCCGCACAAGAAAAGTTCAAGTGGGAAATGTAACAGAGAACCAATTATTCTGTAAATGACAACTTCAAGTTCCTGAGGAACATCTACTTTTAGGATTTTGATTCTTTGAAAAGACAGAAGTTTATGTTCTTCAAAAAGTTTCATTCAGTTCATATTTTCACAGCAATGAATAAATATGTGTTTCAAAATACTCTCCCTGCAAAAAAATTGGGTTTAGAAAACAGTTTAGAAGTTCTTAAAAATAAAGACGGATAGTGTTTATTATACTGGCTATCTAGCTAGATAATATTTAGTTACATCACTCATAATATTACAGACATGCGCACCTTAATCAGGCACCTTGAACCCAATGAATACATTCTTTTTCAAAAATCTAACAGAATGAGTATGACAATATATCATTAATAATACACACTTCTTAACAAGGAAAAGTAGGTACTTACTTGATAAAATATTTTATGCTTATAACTTACTATATAAAACATTTCTTTCACAAGAAAACTGAAAGAGGTCAAAGCTTCAGGTAAGAAGTAAAGTATGTCATAAACATATTCCGAATCCAAGATCTAAGGTAGAAAAAAATGAGTTTCAGCGTTATTGTTTGTGAAAGTATATGCCATTAAAAAAGAACACAGAATGTGAAAATATAGCAAATTGAGATTTGTTCATGCAAATATATATTATATTATTATACTTAAAATCTTACTTTGAAGAGAAAATAAATAAAGCTTGCATATTGATACAAAGCTTTATCTATTACCGTTCTGAAAATAGAGAAAACCTGCATATATATACAATATGTGTACAAATATGTGTACTTAAACGATAGAACTCAATAGAAATCTATATGAGATGCACAAAATACACAGATTTAGTAAACATATCATCTCATTACAGATTCTATTTTTTTTTGAAATCATATCAATATTTGGTGCAGAAAAAATAATGCAAACATAATAATAGTATAGGATATACCGAATGGACAAAAGAAGATTTAAGGTCTGAGATCCTTTGATAATCACCCAGCCTTTGTAGATCTAGCAATGGTCGAAAGAAGGCAGGGACAAAAAAAATGAACTCACTCACACTGTAAAAACGTATATCGTCAGATTTCAAGCATGAGAAATCTGAGTATAGCATGTATGGAGAGGGAAAATAACAATATGAATGAAACCCTAGAGGTTGGATGAAGAACCGACAGTCGGTTTAGAAAGCCGAAGAATAAATGAGAAGCCTCGAGGGTAAAAGGGCTTTATATAGTGTGGGTTAGGTTTGGGTTGTTGAGTAGGTTTTAATGTAAGCTATTGGGCTGGGTTGGATTCAGAATGAGTTTGTGTAAAATGGGTTACTGATGGATGTGGTATGAATGGGTTAATGATTGGGAGTGTTAGTTGTTATAATTTTTACTCCGTATTTAGTTAATATTAAAGTTTGTTTATTTAAATTATAAATTTTTTGAAATTAAAAAACAAATATAAATACGGTTACCGTTAATATTATTAATATCAAAATTATTACTCCCTCCTCCGGCTAAGAATAGGACAATCCGGTTTACGATCCTTGACCGATGACAAAGCAATCAGATACATGTCTGCACTCAAATTATTTTTTGGAAAAAATATTACATTTTCAGAAACTAAAATGAAAACTATACAAAGTCACAAAAACCAAAATCAAATTTGATATATAAAGTAATATATTAAAAGTGATTTGTGCTGACCAAGTGAATATGAATTGAACTCAGACAATTTTAGCGGGACGGGTGGAGTATTATATTATACGGAGTAATAATATTAGAATATCTAAAACAATCTTAAGCGTAAAATATGTCGGACATAAAGTTGTCATTTCAAGATTAAGCTTAACTTCTACCGATTTAAAAATATTGTTCAAGTTTCAAAAAGGCAATTTCCAATCATGACTTCTTATGCGATGACTATAAATAAGAATTAAGCTCAATCTTTATCGCATTTCGGTGTTTACGCATGGTCAACTTTATGTTGCGATATCAAGACTAAAAATCGTAAGTTAAAGGTAAAAATATTGATTTGTGCACGTGATGAACAAATTGACTATACAATTAATGTTGTTTACAAGGGTTTCGAAATGTATAGATTGTTGAAACCTTATGGTAATATTTATTTATTTCCACTTATTCCAAAATTAACATACTTACTACTATTGCATTAGACCAAACTATCTTTTTCTTAATCATAATTTATTATAATATACTACCTCCGTTCTTAAATAAATGCAACATATGAAATTTTACACTATTCACATGTTCTACTTTGACTACGTTTTATTAATTAATGTATTAATATTATTTTATGAAAAAAAATATTGTCAAATTTGTCTCATTGTAAATTTTTAAAATCTAACTTTTTTAATTTTTTTACTAATACAAAATTATGTATATTAATGGTCAAAGTTGTGTCTCGGAAGAGTGAAATGTTGACCGTTGCATTTATTTAAGAACGGAAGAAGTATTATGTATTACGTCTTTATTATTAACATGCATTTATATATTAACTAATAATATTAATAAATAAGGAGATATAGCTATTATATTATTTATGTCCCGTGCAACGCACGGGTGAGAATCTAGTTATTTACTCACTACAAGTTGAATCATATACCTTAGAACATAAGAAACAAACTTCATACGTAATTTGCACACCTTACATACCTTTCCCAATTCGAGTTTGACTATGTGCACATAATGAGGCCAACGGCGTCTATAATCTATCACGCGAAATCGAAAAGATGGTCAAACTCTGCGACTTTACCCTACAACAATGTTAAAAAAAACTAGGACAAAGATTATTTTTATTACGGAGTATTACCGAGTATATTATAATGGAAAAATAATTGATAATAATAATCCCAACTATTGGAGGTCTGTTCAGAATAATCTCAACTATTGATTATTTCAGAATAATCTCAACTTTAGGGACCTTCCACCAATAATGGTCTGCCGTGAACGCCTATAAATAAATTCTTATAGTTTCTAAAATGGATGAGAAGAGATATATCAAGTAATCCCTATAAATAATCCCAACTTTTGATTTTTATGCCTAAAATTCACTTGTATTGGAGGCAATATCTAGTCATGAACCATTATTGGCGGACACTCCATATAATTGGGATTATACAAGAATAATCAATGGTTGAGATTATTGTTAGCGGACCAGCAATAGTTGAGATTATTATTTTCGATTTTTCCTAATTTAATTTGAATCAGCTACATATTCATTAAGGGGGTGTTTGGCTCTGATTGTTAAAACTGTTTCTGCTCCTTCAGAGAGCAGAATCAGAAGTTGAAATGTTTGAGTGAGAGTGCAGAAGTACTTCTGATGCTGTAATTTACTCATAGAATCGGTTATTTTTAGAAGTTAGGGGAGACTAGTTTTTGAAAACTGATTCTGATTCTGCTTCTGCTTTAAAAAAGAACCAAAAGTAGAATCATTTCCAAACACTCCTAAGTCAAAATGGAAAGATAGAGGCCGGAACATTACGTCAAGCTTGACGATGAAATATGGAAAGAGCTACTCTAGCGAGATAATGAGTAGCCCGATTCGTTGATCGGTACACATACAAGAATGTAACGCTTTCTAGATTAGGCTGATTAGCTATAGCCTATCATATGGATCTCTAATATGTTCAAACTTGTATCACATCATCATCATTATTATATTCTTTCCTCCGTTTCTATTAATTGTTCCAATTTTCATTTTGCAATTCATTCCGCTGAAATTGTCTCATTTTAAAATTTGGTAATATTAAATTTGGTAATATTATATACTCCGTATATAATATAATACGGAGCAGTATAACCCTATACGAATGGAGCGCAATTATTAGAGTTTATGATAAAACTCGTATCTACCTAAGAAAGGAGATTCCCACTAATAAATTCACTCACTCTCTTTAGCAAAGAAGACAGAGTATGAAAATGGGGCCGCTTCATCCCAAGACATCAACTTTATTTCTACTTTGTTTTCTTTGTTTCTGGATTTTAACATGCACAGAAGCTTCATCATCTCAAAGATCAGCACAGAATTTGGATAAGATAGAATCTTTGCCTGGCCAGCCAAACAGTCCTTTGATCACCCAATACTCTGGCTACATCACAGTTGATGAGTCTCATGGAAGGGCTCTCTTCTACTGGTTCTTTGAGGCTCAATCTCAACCGTCCATCAAACCTCTTGTCCTCTGGCTTAATGGAGGTATGTTTTTTCATTTGTATGTATTCTTTAATATCTGTCCCAAAATGATTTGGACTTCTATTTATGTTGTTACAATCTTTTTAGTATCAATTTTTTTTTGTCTAATGCAGTTTCTAGATATCTAAATTTTGATCACCATGAGTCCACTTTTAATGGTGGAATATAACATATTCAGAAACTCCTAACTGGTAGTGTCTGGTAAATCTTTTTTGTATATGTACACTATACTGTTTTTGTGAAAACATATACACTATACTTTTGAAAGAGTTCTTTTTCTTATTTCAAAATAAATTTTCTGGAATGTATAACATGGATACTATCTTATCCAGTTTCTTATTTAAAAAAAATCTTATCCAGTTTCTATTGGTTTGGGCCATGCTTTAAAAAGTGCCAAGTTATGTTTGCTATATTATGAAGGTCCTGGTTGCTCTTCAATTGGATATGGAGCGGCTTCAGAGTTGGGTCCTCTTAGAGTTAAGGAAAATGGGACTGGTCTTGACTTCAACAATTATTCTTGGAATAAAGGTTTTTCTTTTCATCCCAACTTTATGTCTATTTCCTGTTCTAGCAATATACGAAGTAATAGATATGGTTTGGTTGGAATTCATGTCATGCTGCCATTATAATCAGGTCGTGATTTATGAGGATTGAGGAGTGAGTCTATCAGTCTAGTCAATTACATTTCTTTTTATTTTGAATATTTGTAAGGAATTATAAATATTACTCTCTCTTTACTTTAAAATTCTTCTCACTTACATCTTGAGATGTCCCAAAAAATTCTATTTCCTTTAATTTGTTAAAAAGCTTTGTATGGTTAACATTTATTTACATTTTTCTTACTCAACTACAACCATACATTTCAACGTTATTCTCACTTTCTTAAACTCTGATCTCAGTGAAACCAGAAAGAATTTTTTGGAAAGGGGAGTATTTATTTAGGAAAAAGTAGTGTATTGTTATAACAAATCATTAAGAACTATATATAGTAATCAAATGAAACATTGTGATTTTGTTTAGTTAATACAAAAAAAACATTTCATTGTTTTAGATCAAAACTTCATTAATTTTGATCCACAGTAAATATGACATTGTATTATATACTACGTAGTACCTATAACCACAGTTAACTTCAAATAATAAAGTGAAATAAAAAAAATTTCACACATGCATATTTAATTTAAAATTAAATCAATATAAGTAATTAAGCTCCAAGGATTAAACAATATAATGATGGTGATAACTTTTTCACAAGCATTATTGGAGGAAGTTATACTCCCGCCGGTAGTAAGTATTTCAAATCTATTTATTTTATAAAAATAAGAATATATATATTGTTAACTAAATAAATATTTTAGACAAAGCTTTAATAGAAGGATATGTATGTATTTTAACTGATGAGTTGATAACGTCTAGGCCAGGGTCTCAAAAGTCAAAACCATGAATGGCCGTGATAATAATACGAAGTAGGCAGTAATATACGGAGTATTTGTTTAGTGTACAGCCTATTATAAACCTATTTTAATTAATTAATCATTTCCTTCCCATTTTCACCCTAACTTTTAACCTCTTTTTACACTTTTACCTTAAGAAAACTTCCTTATTTTCTTTCCCATTTCAATTTCAAAATGTCATAATTTTTTTCCTTTTCTTTCCTTGTCTCTTGTCCGCCTACTCACGCACATGTGATGTCTAAAAGTTTTTAGGTACACTTTCCATAACATCAAATTATTAAGTGTCGGCTAATCAAAGTTTCAATACGTTAAATCAGTTAACATAAACATCATAAAAAAGAAGTATGGTATTTTTCAATATCACGTTGTTACTTTTTTCGGTAATGAAAATAATATACATTATTGCTCTCATACCTTATTAAAGGAAGAATTTAACTTAACATCTCATTTTTGAGTGATGTTAGAACTATAGAATTATAATGAAATGTGTTGAATTGATATCTATGGCTGATGATACGTACATCAATTTATAGATTTAAAAGAGTTGAGATATGAGCTAATAACTAACTACCATAGACTAAGGGATATAGTTTAGCTATACAGCCTATACGTAAGGGATATAGTTTAGCTATTCGTATAAGATAATTACAAGTACATCAACCGTATGATATAATTACACAAACTAACTATATAGTAATATTATGTTAATATTATGCTTCAATACGCCCCCGCAAGATGGAGGATCCGTTGGATACTCCCAGCTTGGATCGGAAGTAAAGAAATGGTGCCTTGCCAAGAGGTTTGGTAAGAATATCAGCAATCTGATGTTTTGTAGAGATATGTTTGACCACCAATTGTCCATGCTCAACCAATTCTCGTACAAAGAAGAAGTCCAAGGCAAGATGCTTCATCCGTGAGTGAAAGACAGGATTAATGCATACATAAGTAGCTCCTTGATTATCACAAAAAAGCTGTGGTGTGGAGACAAGTGAGATTCCCAATTCAGTTAACAAATTACGGACCCACAACATTTCTGCACTAGCATTGGCAACAGCTTTATATTCAGCTTCAGTAGAGGATCGAGAAACTGTTTTCTGCTTTGCTGACTTCCAAGAGATAATATTACCGCCTAAGTAGAGAACATAAGCTGTAGTGGATCTTCCCCCATCGGTCACCCCTCCCCAATCGGAATCAGAGAAAACAGAGAGAGTCAAGGGTGAGGACCGATTGAGAAACAAGCCATGATCAAGGGTACCTTTGAGATACCGTAATATTCTTTTCACACCTTGCCAATGGGTCTCGGTCGGAGCATGCATGAACTGAGACAACCGGTTGACAGCAAATGAAATATCAGGCCGGGTAAAGGATATATATTGGAGGAGGCCTAAAGTCCGGCGATATTGTGTTGCATCCATTGGGGGGGTGCCATCTGTGAGTACCAGGGAAGTTTTGGTGCACATAGGAGTGGCTGCCTCCTTTGCACCACTCATTTTGCATGCTTCCAGAATGTGCAATATGTATTGCCGTTGAGTCAAAAACAGACCTTTGGAAGTGGGAACCACTTCAATTCCCAGAAAATGATGGAGCATGCCTAAATCTTTGACCGAGAACCGCTGTGTAAGTTGTCGGACAAAAGCTTCAATGGCATTAGAATTATTCCCTGTAAGAACAATGTCATCAACATAGACAAGGAAATAAATTAGTGTGCCATTAGATGAATAGATAAATAGGGATGCATCTGCCCGCGACTTGTGGAACCCCACAGAAAGGAGGAACCGGCACAGTTCCATGTACCATGCACGTGGGGCTTGTTTGAGCCCATATAGAGCCTTATGGAGTTTGCAAACATGTGTAGGGAACTGAGGATCCCGAAAACCAGGCGGTTGGACCATATACACCTCCTCTGTGAGTGTCCCATGTAGAAAAGCATTGTTCACGTCTAGTTGGCGAAGGGACCAGTTCCGAGTCAGTGCAATAGATAATATAATACGTATGGTGGCTGGCTTGGTTACGGGACTGAATGTTTCGGAATAATCACATCCGGGTTGTTGTAAAAAACCACGAGCCACAAGACGGGCTTTAAAACGTGAGATGCTGCCATCTGCATTTCTCTTAATCCGGTAGAGCCATTTGCACGTTATGGGAGACTGGCCATTTGGAGGAACTAAACTCCATGTGTTATTACACCAGAGAGCCTGCATTTCATCCTGCATGGCAGAGGCCCACCGTGGATCAGATAACGCCTGCTTTACATTCGTTGGTTCAAGAGTGGGTGGGATTGGATGTTGGGTGGTCAAGTTAATAAAGGGGCCTCCAAGATATTTGGGGTTGGGAACTCGTGTACGAGTGGGTCGGTGGTGAGTGGTGGATTACGAACACGAATAGCCGATCTTAATTCACCGTAATCAGAACTTAGGCCATTGAGAATATTGATCACCAAATCTTCCTCGGAAATAGGACTTTGAGCGAGGGCCAGCGCCTCGGAGATGGCATACATTTCCGCAACATATTCGGTGATAGATCAGCCTCCTTTGGTAGTCCGGGAGAGAGCCGTTTTAAGGGAGATGATTCTGCCCCGGGATGTGCTCGCATACGTGAGCGAGAGCTTATCCCAGGCCTGTTTTGCCGTCGTAGCAGACGAGATTAATGGTTGAATAACGTCAGCGCAACTTCTGAGCAATGCACTGATAATAGTGCGATCTTGGCGATACCAAATAGAGTAGCACGGGTTCGGATGAGTTTTGGCAGCATCCAGGTATTTGTCCGGTATTGCAAGGGAACCGTCCACATATCCGTCGAGGCCGAGACCAACGAGAGCGGAGTGAACTTGACATTTCCAGACGGGGTAGTTTGATGTAGTGAGTTTGATAGGGAAGTGGGTGGAAGCCGTGAGGGAGACGACTGGCGTGGTAGGAGTGATAATCGACATAGTTGGATCGGAAAAAAAATGGAGCTCGTTAGAGGGAGGCTCTAGATACCATATAGAATTATAATGAAATGTGTTGAATTGATATCTATGGCTGATGATAGGTACATCAATTTATAGACTTATAAGAGTTGAGATATGGGCTAATAACTAACTACCATAGACTAAGGGATATAGTTTAGCTATACAGCCTATACGTAAGGGATATAGTTTAGCTATTCGTATAAGATAATTACAAGTACAGCAACCGTATGAGATAATTACACAAACTAACTATATAATAATATTATGTTAATATTATGCTTCAATAAGAACTTTAAACTCCATTCTCAGAAAAAATGCATGTAATTACACCTCTTCGGCAGAAATTTTGTTAAAAAATGGGTTGTAAAGTCAAATGACTTTTTATATATAGACATATAGTTGAATTATATAGTTGAATGACATGCACACATTATTTTGTTTGAAAATATGATATAAAGTCCAATGTTTTTAAAAAAAAATGGGATGTAAAATCAAGCCATTGAAGTTATGAGTCGTGTTATGTTTCTTCATTTTGTGTTTTATGGTTTTGTTTTCTCACAAGCTCTTCTCTAGCTCCTTCATTTTGGTTTGAATAACAACAAAAATATTTCCTACATATGATGAGATGTTCTTTCTAGAGAAAAGAAAAGAAAAAATGCATGTTATTAGCTGTGTTTTAATTTGTTACATAAATTTGTTGAGCAAGTTTGAACAATTTGCCATTAATTAATTGGTACTCGTGATGATATATTAACGGATTTTAATCCATCCCGAACTAGGTAATTAATATTTTTAAAGGCGAGTGAGGTAGAAGACTCGCAATTAATTAACTGTAAATTATGCAGAAGCCAATTTGTTGTTTGTGGAGTCTCCGGTTGGGGTTGGATTCTCATACACATCCTCTAATTTGATGATACTCGATGACAAATCTGTTGGTAAATTCACTACTCATAAATGAAATTAAATGGAAACATATAAGTTTTTAATTATACGGTTATATTAGTAAATTACTACTATTATTATTTGTAATTAAACTCCTCTACTTTGACTGAGCTAGCTGAGGATTCCTACACCTTCCTGGTTAATTGGCTAAATAGATTCCCACAGTTCAAGAAGAATGACTTCTTCATAGCAGGAGAGAGCTATGCAGGTAATACATCCTTATATATGCATATATACACGTACATTTATCTAATTTCTTTGTGTTATAATTTTGTATTGTGTTGTTACTTTATAATGCTTTCACTTGAAGGTTATGTAACTCACAAACCAGAGTACTAAACCAGATTTGATCGGGTTTGAAAACATCAAAACAAATGAGGTCTGACCTAATACTCGCTACGAAAAATAATCAACCACCACAACTAACAATTAATTAAGATGCTTTGAATTATATCAGACATAAAAAGACTTAATCAAATGTAAACAGAAAGATCAACCAGACTAGACTTACACAATACTAAAAACAATAAACTAGGCGATTACCAGATCAAATGAGCCTTACATAAATCAAGCCAAATCAAACCAGACTTAAATAAATCTTACTAGAAAATTTCAATCCAGTTAAAAATAATTACTGTAGTTTCTCAAAAATGACAGGACACTACGTCCCCCAACTTGCCGATCTTGTTTTGGAGCGAAACATGCAGTATGATGGAGCGCACGGGCGGGTCATAAATCTCAAGGGTTTCATAGTATGTAACCCTCGTTTCAATAACATTATCGATCAACACCTTTTTACGTCAAAAGTACATATATGCCATGATATTGTTCTTACACTACAAAAAATAACGGATTTACACGAATTTGGCACGAATTGGTTGACAGTTCAATGCCAAATTACTCGAGAGCAAATAGTTTTAGCACAGATTTGCCTATCCTTGTCAAATCTCCTATGTATTTTGGCGAATCCTTACAAAAAAATTTGTATCAATCCGTTATTCTTTTATAGTATTAATTTATAGAATAATGCTAACTAACTATATAATGAAAAACTTTGCAGGTGGGGAACCCATCAACAGATAACTATTATGATCAAAGAGGCTATTTAGAATATGCATGGAGTCATGCAATAATATCAAATGAGGAGTATGAGCTGGCCAAAAGAGAGTGTGATTTTTGGAGCTCTAACTTATCTGATAAATGCAATGATGCGATGTACACTTTATGGGCTAATTATCAGGAAATTGATTTAAATAACATTTTTGGTCCTAAATGTCTTCCCATAAAATCTTCATCGGCTGCCCTTATCAACATCTTGGATAAGGTATGTGAAGCCTATGTGTTTTTTACTAATCTTTTGAAATAATACAACATACATATGCAATGACACACCAATCCTTTTGTTTATACTATGTACTCCACATATGTTTTAGAGGTTTGCTGTTTTAATCCCGTACTTTTTTTTATCATGTAACTCATAAATTTATCAACATTAAGCCCTTTTCGACAAAAAACAGACCCAATAATTAAATAGTATAATCTATTGGGAAAGTCCTTAATTTAAACAGATTTATTAGTCACAAAATTAGATTTACATGACCCGTAACGTGCACATTCAGAAGTTACAAGATTAAATTTTCTCTATACGATCACATTCGTATATTTATGTGTATTTCACAAAGAAAATAACTATTGAATGTGCTTACTATTAGTCATGTGATTTTATTTGATCACCCAAAAGTCATACGGAGTATCATTTAGGTATCAAAAGTTTCCACATGAAGATTATTTTTATCATTTGAAATATATAATGGGTATTGTCACACTGACATGGTTTTTTGTTGGAATTTTCGCAAAGAGTAGTAACGTACATTCCAATGTGGACAAAATTGCTAATAATAAAACATGATCGGTAAATACGTAAAATTACAAGACTAAGAAAACGTACAAACTTAGAGGCTAAATTAAATAGGTCCTCTCTATATAAGCAAACGTACATACTAGCAATAGGATTATCTGTATCAAATGTAGTCAATTGGCTTCTTGATCTAAATTTAGAGAGAATGAATTGACTAAATAGGAATTTTATTGATCCATAATTAAAGAATAAATATGATTATCTCAAATCATAATAAACCTTATGTATATTCTATGTTTAAGTTCTATATATTATCCTCTTAAATGAGAACCTAATGTGTAATTGAAGGTCACAATAAAATGCAGGAAAGAATATATAAAAGGGGGAGGATGAAGCGAATGGTCCACGAGGCTTATGGTGCCTGCTATGCCTCGGATGCAGAGGATTACTTCAACAGGATTGACGTTCAAAAGGCTTTACATGTGAATATCACCCAACAAAACTTTACATGGAAGGGGTGCAGGCTAGTTCCACAAAATCTCATTTTTTTAATAGTGATAGATTGGCTTCATAACGATCTAGTGGATCTACATAGGGATTTTTCTTATACTCCTTAGGGTTATAAATTTAGTGTAAATTATTGAGAATTTATAAAAAAAAAATTGCTAAATAGATAGTAAAACTTTTTTACGAAACTAAAACCAATAGTTACTCTGTACAACATGAATTACAATAACTACGTGACTACTATAGTCACTATATTTAGGATGTCACATTTTCATAAACAACATTCATTTTAGTCATATGTATGTAATTATTTCTAAACTATTTCATTTTGTCATTAATCCATTTAGCTATTGCTTTAAATCTAATGTAATCACTCATCAATTTACTCCGATCTAAATTTCTAAATCCGCTTATGATGGAACAATATGTTTAGAAACACTTTATTCATCCCTCAAATCATGCTAATCTATTAACCGGTTTCACTTAAAAGGTGTGTTTAATTAATACACCATCCATATGTATATCTCTTTAATTCTTCTTTCAATAATTTATTCTTAATAAAATTATCAATTTAGCGTCTAAATTATTTCCCATTTTTCACATTAGCCGGTCAATACTTGACTCATACAATTACTCAGTCTCCTCTGTACTGCCAATTTACCGAAAGCTAATAGGAGGTGGATCACTCAAAATTTGGATTTACAGGTAATTAGAACTCTAAGAAAGACATAGTTGGTACATTCTATTTTGGTTTCATGGCTCATTCATCCTGTATTTTTTGTAGTATATTTTCAACGGCCTATCCCGACCCCACCCTACCGACATCCTACCCCCACCCCACCCCCTTATCATACCCCCGACCCACCCTACTACCCCCATCCCTTACCCCTACCCCACCCCTCGACCATAACCCCACACCGTACCCTCTTACCCTACCTCGAACTCACCCCTATGAGTAGGGGTAGTTGTTAGCGGGTATGGTTGTAGGGGAGTAGGGGTAGAAGGTAAGGTCGTGGTAAGGGTAGGGGTAGGGGTCAAGGGTGTGAAATTGGGTGTAGGGTAGGGATAAGGGTGGGGTACCCGGGAGGGTATAGTGCGGGTTAGGGGTTAGGGGTATGGGTACATGCACGTACAAGGTGACCCACATATTATATTATATACTTGTGTATATATGTTTGTCTATATATGTATAGGGTAATTATGGACACTTTAATGTTAAACGGTGTTTTAAATCATTTGAAGTAAACCAGATCTTACAACTTTGCTTATTTTATACGACACTTATTAACGCGGGTCTTACTAAGCACCATTTAGTAACCCGTGAAGTAAACGTGTCCTAAGTGATTGAATACTCCGATTTATTTACTTGCAACATATTTCTTTAGTATTCCTACTATTTTTGTTCTTAAATTCATTTTATAGTTTTCTACATTATTTAGTATATTCCTGCTATTTTGTTTTCCTAAATTCGGTGAAAATTCTAAAATTGAAAGTAAATAAATAAAGATGGTACTTTATATTATCCATGCATATATATCGATTCTAATAGGAAAATGATTTACTAAATGTCAAATATTAGAAAACTTCTTTATTCAATTTTCAAATCAAAACTGAACTGATTTAATTAATTTATTTAATCCAAATACTTTTTACACAACTTAGGTACTTAAAATTTTACACAAGTAATAATATTTCAATGACTCATGGGTAGGCCATCTCATTCCAAATTTTGCATAATATTGTATTGTATGTAAGTAAAAGCCAACATCTCATGTTTTGTTTGTCTAAAAAAGTGGGGATGCGGATGGAAATGTAGCCGTTCTTGGGACAAGACATTGGATAGAAGCTCTTAAGTTGTCTCTCAAATCCATATGGCGCCCTTGGTTCCACAAGAAACAAGTAAGCTTATTTATAGAGATTTTTTCATAAAAATATTATTGAAATGAAAACTTGAGCTCAGTCGTTTAATCACTACAAACAAATTGCCCTATACTTACACTATAAAACCTGTTGGTATATATGTACAAAGTGTTGGCATAGACACCATTTCCCTATACCAACACAAATTTATGCAATTCCGACATAAATTTTAGCGTTGGTATACATTGCGTCGGTATAGACCAACATCAACATATTTCGTAGCGTAGGAATAACTCATTATCATGTACCAACAAGTTAAAGAGTGTTGGTATTGGCTTTTTAAGTGTTGGAATAACTCATTATCATGTACCAACAAGACAATGAGTGTTAGTATAGGCTTGTATCAAGCTTCCTTAATTTCATGTTATGCCAACACTTAATATAGTGTTGGAATTGTTCTATTATATGTAACCATAACAATAATCATTTACTAATTCTTATATATATATATGTGTGTGTGTGTGTGTGTGTGTACACACACACACACATATAGAGCAATGCTCAGGTCCATCCAGAGGGACAGGAGGCTCCGTCCGAACTTTACTGTTTGAGGCGGTTCCCGGTGGAATTTTTTGATGAAATGTTTTGAGCATGTTCCTCATCAAGTCTAGTTTGCACATACCAAATTTCAGCTCAAAATTCGATCTGGAAGACATTCAAATAAATTCTTGAAACATACTGCACATTACTATATAAATTCTGAGTAGTCCTATATATATATATATATATATATAGAGAGAGAGCTCTTCTCATCAGGCCGGCCTGACGGGCTGCCCCGTCCGGCCGAGCCCGTTTGGGCACCTTCCCGGTGGAATTTTTTGATGAAATTTTTTGAGCATATTCCGGAATACACATATTCCGGACCAGTTAACTTGCAAAAATCATTTGACGACCTTCCCGATCGAATTTTGAGCTGAAATTTGGTATGGACAAACTAGACTTGATGAGGAACATGCTCAAAAAATTTCATCAAAAAATTCCACCGGGAAGGTGCCCAAACGGGCTCGGCCGGACGGGGCAGCCCGTCAGGCCGGCCTGACATGATGATTTCTCTCTCTCTCTCTCTCTCTCTCTCTCTCTCTATATATATATATATATATATATATATATATATATATATATATATATATATATATATATATATATATATGAAGATGCAAACATTCAAAACACAATTACAATCGAGGTCAAAATAAAATCTACATTTAAATCATTATTAAATCTCAAATGCATTTTTTTAGTTAATTCAAAATTTTGATTATTACATACAAATAATCCCAAATATAATATAAGAAGTTGGCTTAAATGTCAAATTCAAAATAAAAGGTCAACTTGGTGTTTAAAAGCATCTTTCTCTTGCTTTCCAAAAGTAATAACACCTGCAAAAAAAAAACAATAGCTCACCATCTTTAGTTGCAAGCATAAATAATACGAAGTATAATTGAATTTGAATATTTCAACAAATCAGAAAAAAGAACAGCTAGATTTCCTTTCTTGCCAAGTTCAACAAGAACTTCATCAATGTAAGATTTACTTGAACCATTATGTTCCCTCAAACTCTCTTTCCTCCTAGATTTCCTTTCTGTATTGATTTTATTTTCTTATCCTAGCATTTCCAGATTCCAAACTGACCCCAAACAGGAGGGAGGAAATCGTAAGAAACCAAAAAAAAAAAAGTAGCATTTTAGCAGCTACAAATATCTTTGAGATAACAAAGGGTAAAAGCAATTTACCATATTTTTCAAACGATCATATTTTTCAAAATATTCCCTCAGTCCCAAATTGTAAGATACATTTACTATTCACTTGGTCAACATAAATCACTCTTAATCTTTTACGTTATATATCAAAAGTTTATGAAATTTGAATTATTTTTTGCATGCTTTGTAGCGGTTTTAATGTAGTTTCTGAATATGTAAATTTTATTTTCTAAAACTAATTTGAGTGTTGACAGGGATCAATTTGCTTTATCGTCGGTCAAACATCGTAAACCGTAAAGTATCATACAAATTGGGACGGAGGGAGTATGCGATAGTTTGAAAATATGCACAAACAATTTAGATGTAGATCAGACAAGTATACTGCTCCACTTTAGATGGCACACTTTACATCAAGTATAATATAACGCTCCATCACACTCATTTTTTCTTACAATAGTTCTAATAATAGATTGAAATTTCAGTACTAAACCAAAACATTGTTTTTAGAAGTATGTTCCATAACAATAGTTCAGCAAGCACCCTAAGATGACTGAACTTCAGGAATTTTAAAAAATTACTCCATTTATTTAAAATATAGTGTATACCTGACCAATAGATCCTTTCATTCTATCATCCCAAATGGAGCAAGTCCAAGTAAAGAGTTCAATTGTATGATTGTATCTGTTATATAGACCTGTAAATGAAGCAATCATGTGTACTTATTTCTAGTTGCTAACATCGAGATAACTACTACACTAATCAGATTAACTTGATCAGTCCTGGACCATGAAATAAAATAAGTAAAGCATATTAAAAAAACAGAGTTGTGCCATTGCGTGAAAACTTACTGCTGCAGCATATTCCACCAAGATCACAGCGAGGGTGTGCTTATAAACTGCCAAATCAGATTTGAACCTCGCACTGATTATAAGTTCTGCAGCCAAAAGGACCCACAGAAGTAACTTATAAATGCATTTTTACAATCATACTACGAAAAACAAAGGAAAAGAAGATACCATGCTCATCAAATCCAATAGAGAAATGAAAATTATGCTAATGCGCAGCAAAGTATTGAATGTCTAGGCTTACCTCTTCCGGGTGAGAGCAGATATATAGCTACGAAAATAATCGTCTTTAACCAAATTCTCGGTTCCATTTTCCCTAAAAATTAAATGAGAGAAAAGAATGTTACACTTCCTCCTTTATCCGTTCTTATTGAGATTGAACTGTGTGATTTTAAATATCTCACAGTTTTTTACCATTAAGATACGGAGAAGTAGTTAAGTAGTTATATGTAGAAATCACAGAAAAGATTGACAATTTAGATTTAAAAAATTATTTTAGTAACAAGTAAAACGTTTCACTTAATAGAGACGATAAAATAGTATAACACAACAAAAGAGCTAAAAAATGAAAAGAAGTCCTACTAAAAGCCTAACAATCACAAGTACCTGAAACAGACGCAGTGTTCAACGCCGGCACTTCGACCTGAAAATCACTTCATGAGCCAAACCCGGACACTAACGAGTAGGCTGAGTACACGAAAATGTGAAGAAATAATATGAAAACGGTTTAGTGTCTAAATTTTTTAGGATGGCCTAGTGTTTGAAATTTTTAGAATGCAATTAACCAGATATACTATATTATTACCCAGAACCACCAAAAATCTCATCTAGCTCTATGTTCAGCCCACAAAAACACAGTATAGTTTACTAAAAAAATAATTCATCAATAAGATAGTCCAATCAAACATGTTTAGAAGTTGATGAAAAAGGAAATGAAAAATCAAAAAGTGAAAAAATAGTTTCCAATGTTTTGGAAATTAAAAAGTAAAATGTTGGAAAGAGTAGATGAAAAACTGAGGGTATTTGTCTCATTTGGAGATTAAAAAGTAAAAAGATAATTGCCAAAACGGAAAATGAAACAAGCAATAGTAAACTTCCAGAAAAGGAAAGTGGGTGAAGTAAAAGTTAAGAGAGGGAGTACACACATATGTAATACATATATGTATTTTTACCTCTGGTACGGTGACGAGTTTCCAGTCCCGCTTTTAGATTCATGCCAGCAACAAGTCCAGCAAGAGCATCCAAGAAACACACTCCAAGAAAAGATCCACCTGATGATTTCAGACCGATAGTTTAATATGCATCTTGTGAAGACAGTTACAATATATAGTTCAACATATTGTTTACGAGAGAAAATGTCACAAATGGTTGAAAGGCACACAAACAAACCTCATTTAGTTAACTCTTTTTTCATCTTATCAACTTTCATTTTCACCAAAGACTAAATAGTTTCTCTGTGCTTGCTGAATTGGCTGAAAATGAAAAAAAAAAAGTGAATGCTCTGTCGTTTCAGATATGGTAGTGAAACTTTTTAAACAAATTTATGTAATACATCAAACACAATAGCAACATTACAATTTATAAGTTACTACCTACCATTAACACATCCAAAGCATGTCATGCGCCCATGCTAATATGCTATATCTCCCCCAGTTGCCAACAACATGTCTGAAATTCCAAGGGCACCTTGATCTCGAATTTTTCATGCCCCGAAACAGAAAGATATCAAAAGCTCGAATTTATCCGCCACCCTGTCTTGAATAAAAAACCTGCTCTCCCGGGAGACAGCTTATAGGTTGGAATCAATCTCCCAGATTCACGCTGGAATTCCTAAGGTCAGGGAAACAGGTCGGACTCAGCTCTCCACAAGTCGGTGACCACATATCTACTCAGGTTAGCTCGGATAGACCTTCTTCCTAAGTCCAAACGGTTGTGATGATCCCAAATCGGCTATTTGGTATCTCCGCGAGTCCAAAAAGGCCACGAATCATTGGGGGCGCAGGTCTGACATCCATCTTCTGTCGCCCATCTGTGTCCCTTTAGGTTAGCAGTTCGTGTTCGCACATCAATTGCATGTCATACACCCCCTGCAGGTCGGACGTTAGCGGCCCTAGTCGGATGACGGCAGTTCGTCGTCATCATTGTTCAGGTCGTGCAATTTTGGCAATTAAGTTTCAGTAAGACGATTCCCGATCTGGTCAAATACAGCTTCAGTTGTGTCGAAAGTCATTCTCTTCGTCATTCTCTCCTTCAAGCATTTCTAAGGCAATGATTAGAACAAGTGAAGATCTGACTCCGTGGTGAATCGATTGATGCGTAATGTTGAAAACTAAGAACTCTGCTGCGTAGATTAGTTTTTGAGAAAATCTGGAGTATCAGCCGGCCGGTCGCTGAATGCCTCACCGACTTCGGAGTATTAGCGACTTCATTCGAGTTAGGCTGAAACCAATGTGTTTGATTAGTCAGACTAAAATGCAGGGACGGGTCAAAAAAATTATGGAAACCATTTTTTCAAAATTTATGGGTTATAATTTTACTTACACTTTTAATTATAATTGTTGGTATGTTGTATCACAATACCAACACATGTATTTTTAGTGTAGAAAATGCAAAACTTATACAAACGTAATTTTGAATGTGTTGATATTTATATTGTTACTACGAACATAGTAGATTAATTGTAGGTATAGCTATCCTATACCAACACTAATCTCCCTTTGGTAGAAATTAGTGTTGGTAAAGGACAATTTGTTTGTAGTGAATTAACGCTTTCCAATAGAGATTTTTTTCAAAAGTATTATTGAAATAAAACTTATTTACAAAAATATAACTAAAAGTTACGAAGTGTTATAGCATAGTGTGATAGTCACTTACGTTTTAAAATTGAATATAAGTTATGATGACTATAGTTACTATAATCACTATACTTAAGAGGTCACATTTTGTAAACATTTATATTAGTCATAAATATGTGATTATTTATTTTTAATATAAATGTTTGAAAAAATGCATGGTGAAGGTAGGAGGATGGATAGTTGAATACACAGGGTTGACCTTTATGACTGTGAGAGGGGCGGGTCATCTTGTACCTCTCTATAAACCGAGCGAAGCTTTGGCGCTCATACATTCGTTCTTGACTGGTGAAAAACTCCCTATAAAGAGATGATGATGATGATGATGATGATGTTGATGAGACTCATGCATGTGATACACGTTATGACAAACTAACTAGCTATTACATGTACTTGTAGTGCTTATTGATCAATTTAATACCTATACTTCAATATTAAAATATATATATCTAAAATACTATCTAGAGCAACAAACTAGCTAGCTATTTCAATGCTCATTTCGTCCACATTGAGGCTCCAGTTTCAACATTTCTAAGTTGCTTTTTTAGTGGATCTCACCAACTGGCCATTTTTTTATCAATTCACATTAAAAATAAGTGGGAATAATTTAACTTTGTATTAGATTTCGAGAAATATAGTTGTACTTCAATGGGAATGACTCATACTTCCAAATGTATCTATTTACCTTATTTACATACCCCAAAGCAGAATTACAGAAGTCACTTTATATACTGCGCATAAACTTTCAAAATGACCATTGTAATGCTAGCTAGATTTGAGGCGACTGCCTCAATGCCTCATATCTCTCATCAGAGAGCCATGCATATATGATCAGACTAAAGACTTCCTTGGTAGCAATTATTTATACATCATACAACTATGAGCAAAAAACATAAATGTATCATATATATACATGTGTGGTTTATCGAAAAACCACCAAAATATAGCTTGTTTGATGACTTATATGACCATTAAAGTTCATCTTCCATAACTCGATTGGCGTTTGTGACCGTGAGAAGAAGGATAATTGAGTACGAAGGGTTGGCGTGTATGACTATTTTGAGTTTAATAGTGAGGTACATAAAATTGAAAAATATTATTGAAGCGATTTTCCACATGGCGTTTATGGCTTAATACTAACGGGTCATGTCTGGAGCCCATTCACGACTTAGGGAGTGTTTGCAATAGATTAAAAATATGTTTCTCAGTTTTTGGTTTAAAAAAGCTAAAATTAGTGTTTTCAAGTGATAACTTCTACTTAAAAAGCGCTTCTCGACTTTTGGGTGAAAAATGTTTTTTACCTTTTCTATTACCAAACACTACCAAATTTATTTTTCAAAATCATTTTTTCTCAAACACTGTCAACTTTTACTACTAATCAATTTTCCAAAATCATATCAAAAAAGTGCTTTTTTAAGCAAAAGCATTTGCAAACACTCCCTTAAAATCTCGAGATTCTACACCACCATCACTCAAGAGCTAAAACCATGGAATCCCATATATGACCCTAGAGGCCAGAGGATTGCGCCTATGGCCAGCGGGGGCCTAGGCGGTTGCCTAAATTGAGGAATATTATATAATATTACATAGAAAAGTCTAATCACATTCACACAATTTATATTCATAGTTACTAAAATTTATTTTATAAATAAAAGTAATTCAAATATCAATTTTTCCATTAGGATATAACACAATTACCATAGCAGTTTACACAAGTCTAAAATTGATTTTGCGCAAGAGTTGCACATTGAGTTGAGCTCTCACGAAGCCACCAAATCTTAGTGCAGGATTGAACTTTCCTCAAGCAATCAAATTTGCATCAACTGTAGTACTACCTCCGTCCCAAATTGAGTTGCAAATTTGACTTTTCTTAATCAAACAGTCTCGTTTTGTTCACTTAATTAGGATGTCAATTTTTAATTATATTCTAATTTGGAGTTTACAACTTTGAAGAGATTTTAATATAGTTTTTGAATATGTAAATTTTAATTATTAAAAATTGAATTAATTACCCCTAGAGGGGGTTGACTTTTATTATTGGTTGACCAAAAAATGTTGACTTTGCAAAACAAATTGAACGGAGGGAGTAATACATATTCTCCACATGGGTTAAGTTAATCCATGTCACAATCCAGGGTTGTGAAACTTGAGAATGATTATCTCAAGCCAAGGTTTCAAGTTTCTCTTGTAGTGTATCACGGTTGCTACTACAATTTCCTTTTGATTCACTATCGATCATATCTGAGGCCGAGGAAATGCCAAGTTCGATCAAAGCATAAGTTAGGTTCGAAAAGGTGATCGAGTCGGGCTAGAGAGCCCCCAACTTCAAGAGTTGTCTATCGTGATTCCTCAAATCCAAATAGATTATTCTTTTGAAACCAGGAATAATTCCAGGAACCATGAAAAGGGTTATTATTGAATGAAGAAGAAAAAAGAAGATCACAAAATTTGCCAAGTAAGTGGGGAAGAAGTCTTCCCTAATCTGGCTGTCGAAGGTGAAGAGGGTTCATTGTTTCCTTTGTTCTGGTTGGAGAAGCTATGCTTAGTCGAAGATGAAGAAGATCTGCTTAAACGACTGTCCAAAATTAAGTTTGGTCTTTCATCTTCAATAGCTTTCAGAGATGGAGATTGGATAAATTAGTGTGAAGTTGTGTGTTTAGCTAGATTGGATCGGGAAAAATAGATATTTAAAACAACATTTACTTAATTTTAATTGTACGATTGTGATTAGTAATTTTATGGTTGTGAGTACTATTTCTTTATTTATTGAGATAAGTGTCACATGAGTATATCAAGTTGGGAGCTGTGGAGTAAAGAGTACATAATAATGCAACTGTGATTCAGAGGTACATAAAATTGAAAAATCACCGTCAATTTAGTACAAAATTGTATTACAACGTTTAAAACGGTGATTTGGCAACAATTAGTGTCTGTGCAGTTAAAAGTGGAGTCATACCCTTAGCCGCCGCACACTTTGATTACTGCCGATCCCTCCGTAGAAGTGGCTTCACCCTGGTTTCCTTCTCTGCCGGGGTATCTTCCTCCATCTCCGACGTGACACCCTCTGTTTTTCTCTGAACTACTTCCTCTGCTTCCGCCATCTTCAAGACTCCTCCCGCCCACCACCGGTGCACATCCTTCACCATCTCCGTCCATTCACCAACCCGAACAGCCGCCACTGGCCATAGTACTTCTCCCACTCCCGTTCTTCCTCAGTCGCCAACTCTCTCTCCTCCCAACGCCACAAGCAGCTTCGGCTACCACAACCCTGTCCAAAAAAACCACCATGAAAACTCCGCACAATCTGTCCGATTCTTGCGCCTCACACGCTGACCAACAACAATTTCTTTGATCACCCATGCACCACCGCAAATTATCCCCCAGAAGCTTCCTTTGACTGAAATTGGGAAATTTTCCACCTCCTTCACCCCAACATGTACTTCAAATAGCTCCAGAAGTGATTTAAACATGTCTTAAATCATAAACATAGTTGATGTTGGGAAAATTTGCCTAATCCGTTAAAATAGTTGACATATGTCTTTTATTCGCCTAATCCATAAACATGCTAATACAAGTTGGTATTTAATTAACACTGATTTTCAATTTCATATACCTCTAAATCCCAATTACACTATTATGTACTCTTTACTCCACAGCTCCCAATTTGATATACTCATGTGACACTTTGTCTCTTTATTTATTCATATCTAGCCTCTAAAAATAGTGAGCCCAATTTTGGTAAAACAGTGAACCCAAAATCTCAAATCATCATTCGAAAACGCGCTGCAGTCCCTTACCAACGGAGGCTGCTTCGGATCTTCCGCATCTACACTACGACCGAACGAGCGGCACGCCTGCGACCCGCCTACCACTGCTTCCGCCGACCACGACCTGTCCGGCTGCCCCTGCTTCTCTCCGACGCAGCTCCGCCGCACTACTCAGCCAGGTAAAGCGTCACAACCTTTCTCAAAACTGTTCTTCTTCTTCTTCTTGTAGACTTCTGGGGACTTATCCACTTGCCGGAGTTGTAGATTATCCATTATGTAAATATTCTCAAAACTGCTGGCGGAATGGCTAGTGCTGATTTATATGAAATGCTAAAGTGCTAATATTTTTTACAGAATTATGCAGATTTAGCTGAAGTGCCATATTTGCTTTATCGAAAATCATTTTTTTGAAGAAAAAGAATGTAAAAATGAAATTTTGACCAATTTAAGGAGAAAGGGCTCGACTATAGTTTGATCGAAAACAATTGAAGTTAAAGTAGTAGTTGCTCTCTACTCCTCTAATGATAATATTACGTCATTGGTGCTTGAATACTGCATCTTCATATACTATATTATAAAGAATCAAATGATTTTGGTTTGTGAGTACAAAAAGAACTTCAAAAATCACAAGTCCCAACTTAATGGCAATTGGCAATAGGAACTGTGATTATTATTTGGACTATATATAGCTTTGATTTTCTGCATTTTGGAGTATAGCTTCAGAAAATTGTAATAACGTGTTGAACATCTCTATTCTCTTGAGCTAGTAAGATATACTCCATTCTTCTAAGCAAATTTTCTCAAGTGCCACTGAGGCATAATTCCATTTTATGCTTACTAATTTTGTAATTAGTTGCACTGCAATTTACTTGGAATTTGTATTTGGCAATGCCACATCCAGTTATGAGTTGATTATTATGCATTCAACAATTTGATATTTTCCTAAAATGCTACCTCAGTCCAAAATGTCTTCCTGTTTAATATGTTTGAGTGTTTGTCTGATGATAAAACTGACTCTATTCTGCTAATAGTAAAATTAATATTAATAATTAAATCTTACATATTTATAAACTATACCTAGAAGTTCTACTATAATGCACATACAAAATTCAAATGCTATAAATATTTTTGACCCTCTCAATTGAAATCTAAACTCCCCTGTGTATCCCTGTCGATATCCCGTGTCCTTGGCATTTGACCTCCTGTCAGGTCAATGGAAAGCCAGTAGTAGTGTTCTACACCCAATTTCTCCTCAGGTTTGGCATGCCTGTGCTTTGTGCATCTAATTATTCAATGACTCTTCTTATGAAGTTTCAATCCATTCTTAGACATAAAACTCCTTATTACCCTGGATGCTTAGTGACATGGCTTTGAAGCCTCTGTGTTTTGATCAATTGCAATTTTGGTTACTCTTTTCATAAAATAAAAGATTAATTATCAAATCAAACTTTTTTTTTTATTTTGTAGTTTGTGAATCTTCTAATCTCAACTTGCTCCTTGATTATCAATGGTTATAAGTGGATTATGAGTCATTTTATATTAGTTTCTTGGAATTTATTCATTTATCGAATATATTTAATTCATCATTTTCTCAAAGTTTCACACTTTCACCAAGTTGGATGAGGGTGAGAAATGAGAATAGGATTCATTGTGGGTCTGCTTCACCAGTGATGTCTGATTCAATGAATGTGGGGAGGGTTTACAATTGTGGTTATCGGGCTAAAATATCACTTATTTGGTGTAATTGGTTGTTCGGAAATTTCACGAAATAGCAGTAAAAACAATGTGATAATCCAAAGTAAGAGTACTGTTTTTTCCCCTTGAATACAAGTAAAGTACTCTCATATTGAAATTATAATGTCATTGATGGATTATGAAACATGGGGTAGTCTAAAACTAGAGAGAAGTTAGAAAAATTCTAGAGTTAGAAAATTGTGTATTGAATTTTGCAGAATAACACTACAATGAAAATCTTCCATCATTTTCAATGGAGCCAAAGACTCACTATGTTTTGGTTTGGGAATATGATGGAATAAAGCAAAATGGCTCACTAAACTGTCCGCGCTTCTTTGTTATGAAATAACAGTCAGTCTATGCAATTTTCTACGCGATTTTCACTATGAATCATTCAGAAATAGTCTCTCTATGTTTTAGTACAGGGGTAAGACTGCGTACATCCGACCCCCCTACCCCACCGTAGGTGGGAGCCTTTGCGGCACTGGGGTAATGATAATGATGATGATGATGAACGCTACAATGAAAATCGAATCCCTTTTCCAAAGGCGAAGGTGCTATTTGTTTATAGGAAAAATACAAGGCTTGGGTCATAAGCCCAAACAAACTAGATGATGAAAATATGACATGTATCACTTTATAGACTTGGGGAACATGTATAGTGACTTCAGGCAATGCATCGTGCTGATGTAGGATGACATCATTGGTGATATCAGCCCTTGAGAACCGGACTGTGATGCCATCATGACTTCAGCTCTTGGGAATTGGTTGCGATGTCAGCTCTTGTGTGTATGTTTGAAACACTTGGGAAATGGCTTAGCGTAGAAATTGTAACTGAGTCAAGGTGGATTATGTCTGTTCGGTCTCATCCGTTAGCCCCTAGAGTACGAGTAAATATACCCCATCGATCATGTTTTGGGATTGACAGGCACTAAACCACTAATTAATGCCATAATTGACATTATTTTCCAAACATCACAGTTTGCTCCTATTTACATAAAAAAACATTGTACTCCTATTTTTGGAATATCACATTATTTTTACTTCTATTTAGGGCAGAGTAACATAAGCCAACAAGGATGGTAACTATTAACAGTTTTAGGGGGCCAATGTGGGTGTTAAATGGTACTCATTAGCAATTTTTTCTGTAATTTTTGGCTGTCAGAATCTTTTTGAATTGGTGTGTATGGGGTGTGGATTTTTTTGGATTAGCGTGCAGGGAAATTGAGTTGTATTTTTTTCTTAATCTTTTTTAGTTCCAATAATTAAAATGTGAAATTAGTAAATGTATTTATTTGATGAAATCTTAAATTGATGGAACCTTTTGGATTATCATGATAATCATAAGGAAAAAATTTGACTACATAAATTAATATGATTACTGTTTACTTAAGCAGACTTGGCCAATATATTGGAAAATCAAAATCAGCGGTGATTAAAATTGAAACGATTCTTCATATTGACACCCATTCAACAGAGATTAGGGCTATTTAATTTAACTTTACTTTTAAATTAATTTCAAACACCCAAAATTCAGGTACTAGATCAGCAATGAGATGAGTTGAAGTGTCATCATCATCATTACCCCAGTGCCGCGAAGGCTCCCACCTACAGTGGGGTAAGAGGGGTCGGATGTACACAGTCTTTCTCTTGTACTAAAGGCTAAAGCTCCGAGAGACTGTTTGTCTGTTTCCGGATGATCCATAGTGAAAATCGTGTCGAAATTTGCATGGACTGATTGTTGCTTCATACAAAGAAGCGTAGACTATTTAGTGAGCCACTTTGCTTTATTCCATCATATTCCCAAGCCAAAAAATAGCGAGTCCTTGGCTCCATTGCCAATGACGGAAAAGATGAGTTGAAATGTATTTCATTAATCTAAAATTGTAAATTATAGTATATATGGACAATCAGTAGTAAGGATTCAATATGAATTATAGTGTACATTTTCCTTCTACAGTTCTAGTAATATTTTTCCACTATTTCTAGCTTCGTTGGAACAAGCTAAGCTTTGCAAACCAGTTCTGTTTACAATTTTGAGTTATTATTGACAGTAAATCCATCAGAAGGACTAATGGCTGGACGTGATGATTCAAATGTGGCAAAAGAAAAATCAAGCAATGGAATAGATGAGTTGCCAACATTTAATGCTGAAAATATGCAGAACAATATGAAAGTCATTTACTACAGGTTTGTTGTGATGCCTTATTCTGAGACACTCAGGTGGTGCTAGGTACAGATATGTAGGTTGACTCTATGACCAATATAAAAATAACCAGTCTATTATTATATGCTGTAATGAAAATTACCATTTGATGTTCTGAGACTCAACTTTTGCAAAAACCATAACCTAGTTTTTATTATTAAATGAGTTTGGATGTTTTTGCAGTAGTGAGTGGCAGGAATAACTTCCCAATTCAGATAAGGAGTATTAGAGTGTGAGCAAGATAACTAGCACATGACAATATAATTTTCTTATGGAAAGAGTGAAATAGCAGTTTGTGTAGGAAAGTGCATACTCCTTTCGTCCCTGAATTATCTTACACATTCTTACACATTTATCTATCCTCTGCTCAACTCTCCACCACGCAATACCCACTATCTTAATCCCCGTGCCGAATGTAGTTTGGAAGATAATTTAGGGAAGGAGGGAGTATTATATTTGTCCCTAAGAGTGAGAGAGCACTTTTATTTATCTGGACTTGAGCATCATTCTAGGTCATGCTCAGTGATTCTCATGCTGATCTTGCAATATCAATCAGGTGATGGAGATGAGAATAACAAATATCTCAACTCATCGCAATGTCTTGATATTTTCCATGCATGTGAAAACTGAAACTAACCTGTGATATTGATGATTTTTGAATGTTCATCTCATTATTCTTTATGCAGTTTGTGACAAAAAAAGAGATCTGCCTTAAAACATTGTCACGGTGTTTTTTTGCATGAAGTTAGGGTTAATCAGTTCTGTAAAATTGAGTTGTGCTATATATTTAGTGCCACAGAACCCAACTAGCTAGTATTAAGGTGCTCATAATGAATGCTGAACTGCTGACTTATGCATCATTCTCTTAAACATTTAGCATAAATTTACAAGGTAATTATAGTAAGCATTCTCAATCTTTTCTGTTATTATTCTATTTCCCTTGGTGAAAATTTTCCACTTGATACTAAATTATGGTAAATGCTATTGGTCAGCCGGACATTCATGGCCATCATTGGTGGTGTAATTGCTGGAATTCTGGGATTAACCAGCTTGATGGGGTTTATATTTTATTTCCTTATCATGGGAATTGTGTCAGTAGGGCTGATTGCAAAGGCAAAATTTTCTGTCTTTGCATACTTTGACAGCTGGAACAGGATCATTCTTGATGGATTCCTTGGGGGACTCTTGGTATTTCCCTGAACATCCATTGTTTCTTATATCAATTTGCCAGATTATCTCATTCTTAACACTGCCGTTATTGCACTTTTGGGAATGCTACATCTTTTTCTCTCCCATCAACTTATTAAGGGCATGTTTGGTTCTCAGAAAATACTAGTTAAACAGTAAAAATGCTAAAGAAATTCATATTCTTATGTTTGGCTTTACATTAGAAAATACAAATGGAAATGAAATATGAATAGATATTGCATTTCAAAGTTTACATATATCCAGATTTTGTAGTTCTTAACACTTTAAATATTAAAATAAGTAAACTGAGTTAGGAAAAAATATAGAAAGATTTTTGACCAAAAAATATGATATCCAAATTTTGTTCCGTTTTACTCATTTTCTTTCCCTAGTATTTCTAGGTTCCAAACAGATTATGATGCTTTTTATTTAGAGATATAGGTTTATCGTAGGACTAGGTTGTTATTTGGCATGAATTCAGATTATTAGCATTATAGCTTCTCTTGTCAAAAAAAGTTTGATTGATCATGGCTTTCTATTTTGTGCAGTCGTTTGTGCTATTCTGGACGTATCCTTCATTTCCCTTTCTAATCCCCCGCCCCCCTTCAAGTTTGAATAGTTTATTTCTGGATAATTTCATTTACGGCATATAATAACTTGTTATGACTTGTGAGTATTGTCGTAATCCTTGACATGCACAAGACTTGCTTACGATATTGTGCACATATTCTAAGGCCCTTGAATCCTAAGGAGATCAGTAGCCAGAGAGACAACTATCAAAAGCTTGGCCCTAGACAACATCTCGGAGAGTTGAAGTTTACATTTGAAATTTTTATGCTCTTGATTTTGTTGGCAAATTTATCAGTTCCAAAGATTGTTAAGCTGAATTTAAGAAGTGTTTTTTCTGTTCTGTATTTCATAAGATGCGTATGCATGAGAAAGCTTTTAATTGTTTGGTGCATATACATATTTACCGTTAGATCCAAAATGGACAACATAAGGACCTTTTTTTTGGAAATTACTACGTATCTATCATCTTTTTTTTTTTTTTTTTTTTTTTTTACTTTTTTAGTGTATCTTCACATTGGCATCTTTAAAAATGCCTTCTATTGTCCCAAAAGAAAATGCCTTTTATTTTGGAATAAAGGTGTGATTCGTGTAATCAGCATTTCTTTTTAATTCTTTGATTTTGTATGAAATCTGTATTCGATTCAAATTGGTTTCTGCGTTTCATAAAATATTTAGTATAGATCCTAAAAATGCATTTCCTCAGTCCAACTAAATTTTGTAATAGTTTAGAAATTTCATTTGATATATAATATAAACTTAACTAGTCGTTTAAAATCAGCATTAGAATAAAAAAATTACGAAGAACGGAAGAAGACCAAAGTCACCAAACAGTGGAAATGATTAAATATTGATGCCTAAAATAAGATAAAATTTCACTAATATTACTTTTTTTAAAAGTTACGGTAAAAAGTGTGACGTGGTAACTTTTAGTTACTATATTTATGTTCAACGTTATTATGATGTAGTGATCATGATGTAAACTTTGAACACGTTTATAGTAACTATAAGTTACCAAGTCATATTTTGATCCATGATTTTTGTATTAGTAATATTTTAGAAAAAATCTCCTAATAAATTGTTTGAAAAATGTGACCTTTGAACTATAATGACTATAGTAATACTTTATCATGGTTTTTTTTCAACTTGTAACCTTTATCATATGTTTATAAATAAATTTCTTTGGTGCTATTTTTTTAAAAAAAATTCATAAATTTTCAACTAAGTTTTGTACTCCCTCCGTCCCAAAATCGTTGGCCAATGTTGACTTGTACGTAGATTAATAAAGTAAAAACTGTGTGGTTGAAACTTGTGTAGAGAAGAGATAATTAACTTTAGTCACATATTTCTTACTTTAAATGGAAATGACAAAATTTTTATCAAGAAAGGAAATTTGGCCAACGATTTTGGGACGGAGGGAGTAATAAAATAACAAAGTTAGTACATGCCGATAAAATTCAAAGTTTATACTAGTACAATTGTACTTCAAACTTCAAAGTTGGGTAATTTAAACTTGTTTTGTCTTCTTTTAATAGTTTAGATTAAAAAACATCATACTTAGCTATTATTGATGTATAATAATAAAACCAAGGATTTATTTAGAAAAAAACACTGGGTGAATATATTGACGGTACTAGATTGCAAGAAAAATTGAATTGACGGAATGAATACGTATAAGTTGGTGGGGAATTTGATTTATTGACGGATATGAGTTGCGGTTAGGCTAAGAAATAGCCACCTGGATAGCCATTGACCTAATTTTTCCCATTTAAATAGGGATGATTATGAACGGACGTCACAAACTAACAAGAGTATTAACAAACAAAAAAACATTTGTATATATTAGCATTTCTACATCTAAATATGGGTACACGATGTTTGACTTGTTCTTCAAGTGAGTACAATACTTTTATTAAACTATATAGATACATGCATGGTATATATAAAGTACGTGTAACCAATCAGTGTCAGTATCATATACAAAATGAATATGTGGATGAAAAATATTATTTGTACAATCTCTCCGGTCTCCACAATATAAATTCTTCTATTTCGTTTTCTCATTTCCCATTTTCTCCCTTTTTCATCCTCTTCTCTATCGCAAATTATACCGTGGGATCATCCCACGGTGAGCATGGTGCTCCTGATCCCAAACGGTGTCGTTTGATTATTACAAATGACCGACTTTCTTCAGATTTGCAGACCCGTGCCCTATCAGATTCGGATGTTGCTAAACTACACAATTAGATCGCTTCTCCTCTTCCCTTCATTGCTGGAATCGCTACCAGAAAGGAGTTCAACTCACTACACCAAACTGAGTCACCTCCCATGGCGAAGTTGATTCTTGAAGATGGGAGCTACAACATTTTCCCTTCCCCATCAAAGCCTCCAATCTCCTTCAGGACCCCACAGTTCTCATCTGCAACTCCGACGACGTTTCCGCCATCAGCACCGACGAGGAGCTCCAGCCCGGTCACCTCTATTTTGCTCTCTTGCTGGCCCGTTTCAAGTGCTCCGTAGTGCTCTATTTTTTTTTTTTTTGAAGAATGCTCTCTGGTTCTCTTTTTTTGGGCAGCCTTGCTAGTTTCTTGAAAAGTAGTTTGGGTTAAAAAGTTACATTTTTGTTAAAAATATTTACATTTATATTGGTATGAAGTTACATATTCATTTGTGTGAGTTACATATACATATTTTTATGCTTAAGTTACATTATTTTATAAGCGAGTTACATCTTCTAAAGCGCAAGTTACATTTGTTATCAACGCGAGTTACACTTGTAATAACATGAGTTACATAAATAAATCATGTATTGAGTTACATGAAACAAAAAAAAATTGATTTTTTAAAATCCTTGTGATGGTCATGATATTAAAAACACAAAACATATTCACAATTTATGTAAAGTAATTGTGTGGTTACTCTCTTTTTTCATTGTTTACATTGAAATCAATGTTTTATCTCTTAGGCATCGTATTGGATAAGTTACATTTCAATTGACCTACAGTTACATTTCTTATCAAGGTAAGTTACACTTCTTTACACGCGAGTTACATCACGATATTACTGGGACAAAAAATAAAAAAATTAAAAGCTACTGTTCACGCGTGTTACTGTTCACGCGTGTTACTGTTCACGCGTGAATTTTTTTAATTAAAAGTTGTGCAAAACTATGTCGTTTTAAGAGCAGGAGTATGGTGCTCATCGTGGGATGATACCACGGTATAGCGCCTCCTTCTCTATCATTTCATTTTCAACTTTTTCCGTACTTGTACCAATTTATCTATATTTTCCTATTTTCATCCTTTCTTTATTTTCATTTTCAGTTTTTCTAAATCACATGTAAGAGGATCTCCATTCATGATATTCAATTTTATGGGTTTTTATGGTTTGTTATTGTCATGTCACTTCCACATAAGAAAATCTCAAATAATCTCCAACCCTATCAATTTCTCCTCATCCATGATCTTAATTTATCTAGATTTTTTTTATGAGAAATGCACGAACTACAAAGCTAGTCATCACCTTAATTATGAGTATATGCCTAGAAAATGGGGGGAGGAGCCTAAAAGTTGGAAATGATCTCAAAATAATTCAGCTTTAGAATTTGATACCAGATTATTTTATCAAACAATTTTTTCAAATAGGGTTGGACTCGGGCCGGGTCGGGGCCGGGTCGGGCGGGCCGCCGGTTCTGAATAGTTGGGCCCGGCTACCGGGTCCGGGCCGGGCCTCGGGTTTTTTTTTTTGCTTTCTTAAGTATCCCTGACCCCCCCCCCCCACACACCCCCACCCCCCAAACCCCCCAAACCCCTCCTAAACATCAAGCTCAACCCGGGTGGAACCCAAAAAAATGAAAAAGGAAAAAAAAATCAATTTGGCCCGAACGGCCCGGGCCTCCTTTTCACTGACCCGAGCCCGCCCCGCTTTTCCTAGCTAACCGGGCCTTAGACCGGTTTTGGGCCCGCAACACCGGGCCGGGCCGGTCCCGCACAGTAGTGGGTCGGGCCGGGTGGCCCGAACCGAGTCCATAACTATTTTCAAATAATTTTAACATCTCAACCATAATCTAAAAAAATATCATCCACATCATCAAAATAATTTCTAGATAATCTCATGGATGTGGATGCCCTAATTGGTTATATAAACAGTTGAACCATTGGTTCGTGACTCGTGAGTATACAATCAAGTAATCAATCACTCCGTAGTCAGTATTATTTATGTGAGAAAATTTTATCTGAAAACTCATACTACGTATTGTGTTCACATCAACACTTTTGGCACTAAAACTAATGTTTAAGTACTCCGTACAAATTATAATTATCTATAACACACCATAATTGTTTGTGTCAAGGCATAATTATTTATGAACGATAGATTGTGCACAAAATACAAGTCATTGTGTACATAATATAGCCAATACGTACACATAATTATTTATGACCGATAGAACATGGCAAATTTTCATGGAACAGTTGCTCATGCCTTCTTCACCGGGGTTGGCAATATCAGTAGATTTGGACAGCTTGATTGTGTTGCAATAAAAGGGAAAAAACAGAAGAATCATTATTGAACTAGAAAATGGGCAATATATTGTCATACTTTGACAAACTTTGAAGGAACTACAGGACAGAAAAGGCAAGGCCTCATAACACCATTTGATGGTAGCAGTTTGGAAATTATGAAGCAAAAACACATTCTACAGAACAACAGCCTAAAGAAACAATCTTTCCCCATCACTATTAATCAAACTTTGGGAACATTGCTTGGCATTTTCCCCTTTGCTGCCTCCTTCACCTTCCCATCCAGTGCCCCTTCTCCAGATCTATTTCTCTTTGTTGGAACTTTTTCAGCTTCTCCTCCATAATCTTCCTCTTCTTCATCATCTTTGGCTGGTCTTTTCCTCTTTGGCGGGGCCTCAACCTTTCCACCAGATCCAGGTTCATCTTCTTCATCATCCTCTTCTTCCTCCACCTCTTCTTCTTCTTCTTCCAAGGAATTCTCTTGAAGTTCAAAATCACTGTCACTATCTTCATTCTCCAATTCCTCAGGTGGCTTGAGAAGGGCCTGTATTCCCGGTTCCTCCTACATATTATACAGGAAATTTTTATGGAGAATCAAACACAAATCGCTTATTGAAATTTATTGTGATGAATTAAGACTTATAAGTGAGAATTATCACCATCGGATATTCTGGTTACAACAAATCTATGTACTTTCCGGCAGATTTAAGTAAAAAAGTCATAAACAAATAATTTAAGATCAGATCTTGAGCAGAGCTGAAAATTGGAACAAATTCAACAAACCTGGAGATTTTCAGCACAGATTTGATCGTGTGGTATATATGCATACAATTAATATGATCTTAGACTCTCAAAGGGTAATAAATAAATACCTAAACAGGCTAACCATTAACTTTCGAAACATGATTAATAAAAAATGAACAGATCTATCAAATTCAAGGGAAATTTTGATCACGAGTGATAAATCAAGCCATCAAAACATTTTTTTTCAAACGAGTAACATGACTTATCTGAATAGATAGAGACACTAAAAACAGAGCTAGGGTTTTGCGATTTATCACCTCTTCTCCGCTATCTCCATCCTCTTCTTCCTCATCCTCGTCATCGACGTCATCGTCCTCGTCACCGTCTTCGTCCCCACTCTCTACATCCTCTCCGTCGTTGTCTACGGTGCTTGACTTGGCTTTTCCCAGCTCTTCATCATAAACGTCACCTTCTTCATCTCCAGAGCTATCATCCTCGACCTTCTTCTCGGGTCCGACTCCGGCCTCCTTAACTTCTTCCTCTTCTCTCTTTAGGGCTTCCTCTTTGGCCATTTTTTCTCAACTTGATAATCTCAGAGGAAATTCGGGGAATTCTTATGCAGAATTCGAAATTCGAATCTGGGGCTTTTTTTGGAGAAAGACAGAGGAGAGTAGAGAGCAACTTCTTCGTTCTTCGGAGTAGCAATGCGGGGGGATAGATCTTGACCGTTGGATTTCGAAATGCCTCGGATCGATGATGTGGCGGGTTATCGAACGGCCCAGGAGAAAGTACCGTATATTTCGTGTGCTTTTCGTGGATTGCGGCGATATGGCTTCCCGGTCTATCACGTGCCTTTCGTGTGAGGAGTATCTAGGGTTCCTCAAAAGAAAATACGACATCGTTTAACATTGTTTTGGGCCAATCATAAATCTTCGGCCCTTTTTAATTTCGAGCAGCTGGATCATCGTCCAATCTGGGCTACATAAAATATTCTCGAAGTCCCCAAAGGGCCCTTTATATTGGACCTTGATCTTCGTTCCCTAATGGGCCAAATTCACGTGCATTTGGACAATCCAATCCAACAGCCCAATTTTTTCTTACCACAACCACAAGCCGTAATCAGTTTTCTGTAAAGGCTAAAGGGTCAAATAGGCCCTTGAACTGAATTAAAGTGTTCAATTAGCCCCTTATATAGGAGGTTCTGTCCGGCCGTCACTAATTGGGGCGGTTCCCGGTGGAATTTTTTGATCAAATTTCTTGAGCATCTTATTCATCAAGTCTAGTTTACTCATGCCAAATTTCAGATAAAAATTCAACTGGAAAGGCAGTCAAATGATTTTTTGAAGATAACTACGAAGTTAAACAGCGCAGTACATTTCGAAAAATCATTTGACTGCCTTCCCGGTTGAATTTTTAGTTGAAATTTGGTATGAGTAATCTAGACTTGATGAAGAAGATGCTCAAAAAATTTCATCAAAAAATTCCACCGGGAACCGCCCCAATTGGCGACGGCCGGACAGAACCTCCTATATAAGGGGCTAATTGAACACTTTAAGTCAGTTCAGTGGTCTATTTGACCCTTAAGCCTTCTCTAAATAATACGGAGTAAATATTTCTCCATTTCTTATGTGATTTTTTACTGTTGTATAATATTATTCTAGATTTTTAACTTGTGCGTTGCACGGATGCGTATGTTATATGTTTAACTATGTAATTATATGATAGTGGGAATCTAACAAATAGTTTAACCAACTCGGATTAACAACTCTAAGAAATTTGGGATGAACTTTTCAGAACATAAAATTAGTTCGACGAAGTTGGGATTATTTCATACTAACAAAAACATTCGTGATTAAATATATAAATATTCTGTTATGTATTTTTGTGTTTATGGAATATAATTACAGAGGATCTAAGCCATTGAAGAATGCTGAAACTATTAATGATAAAATGTTTGTAAACATCCAATAACCAAAAACGTTATTGATAGTATAGCTTTAAAACTAAAAAAATAACATTATCAATTACTCAATATTATTATGTTAGAAGTATTACATTTTCTTGATATCAATAGAAAAAGTGACTCTTTAGAGATGTATAATTATCATTCATTAAACAAAATAATTACATGTTTAGAATCTCAACTACTCTATTCTCGAATCCAGGGCCGGCCCTGGGCATGTCTGCCAAGTGCGACCGCACAGGGCCCGGATTTTTGAAGGGCCCAAATTTTTTTTTTAATATTATACCCCAGCCCAAAATCCCCTGTATAAATCTAAATATGCTTGAAGAATATCTCTTTTTAAATAAATTGTAAGTTATTAATGACTATTTTTATTATTATGTTTATTCGTAAGTTGTATTTTAAGACAATTTGCTTGCATTGCAACTTGAAAAAAGGCCCAAATTTTATTCCCGCACAGGGTCTACATTTCTTTGGGACCAGCCCTGCTCGAATCTCATATGTTCATCCTTAGATGCGTCTATTCAACTTAAGAGCCCGTTTAGTGACCCGTTTTTTTGGCTTATCAGGCTTATCAGCCAGCTTTTCACCAAACACGTAACTTTTGATTTTGCGCGCTGAATTATGTAATAAGCTGAAAAAGTAAGGCTGGGTTACTTTTGTAGCTGTATTGGTTGAAGTTACTGTAGAGGGTCATTTTAGCTATTTTCATATATTTTTTTATTTTATTTATTAATAAAAATATTTTAAATATAATTTTTTGATGAATCAACAGAATCAACCAATACAGCCACTTCAACTAGAACTTCATAAATTTTTGTAGAATCAACCAATACAGTCAATTTTAGTGTTACCAAACGGGCTCTAATTCTAAGCCTAATGCGACTTGATGCGTCTGAAAAATCAATTGTGACTTTATGATGTTTTCTTTTGGACTGTTTTCAGTCCGAGACCAAACCAGACTTAAACAGACCAGACCAGACTTAAACATATCAGATCAGACCATACTAGACTTTCATAGTTATAAAATACGCAGAAACCAGATCAGACCAGTTCAGACCAGACTAGACTTAAACTGATCAAACCAGGCCAAACTAGCAAATTTCAGTCCAAAAGAAAACATCCTTAATCATGAGTAGAAAAACGCAGCAGTTAAAATATTGCGTTTGCAATCTTTTGGTCCGCAGTTTAAAACTATGTGACCAGTGGCGGACCCAGAGGTTTGTGAGAGCGGGGGCACACTAGATACTAAAGTTAGTCTAAAATAATAACTCCAAATGTAATAAAAATGGTAAAAAAAAATGTACGTAGTATTAAATTATACAGAATAGTTATTTACATATTAAATATTTCAGTGCTGCAACTTTGGTAAATCAAGCCCACGAATTTTCAAATTCTGAAAATGTTGCATAATAGTTTCACTATCGGTGCTTCTAAAAACATCTCTCTCGATGTAGCACACCAAGCAATTCGTAAGATAGTCATCTCCCATCATATTGCAAAGATCTGTCTTGATTATCAACAATTTTAATTTTTAAAATAATCCCCAAACTAAAAAGCAGGCGTCGTCAATGCAGAATAAATTGAAAATAAACTTACAAATCAAGGAAATATGGGAGGATTGAGCGGTGTAGGCGTGCGGCGGTGCAACATCAATTCAGCTAGACAGCGAAGTCCCCAGAGGCCAGAGCCAAGGCAGCGACATCCCCTAAAGTCGTAATTCGTAAACCGTCCGCGTGAATTTTATCATTCTAGTCTTCCAAATGTTAGTGGGTTTTTAGACTTTTATCACTCTGTAGTTTTAGTTGCCCGCACATTGGCTACTCTTTTGCATTTTAACTTTTTTTGTTACTTTTTGTTTTCAATTCTTAATTATTTTTTTGTTTTTTGATAATTCTATATCTTTTATTTTAATTCAGCTAAAATTTAAATGTTTTGTATTAATTTTTTATTTATATAACCGTAACATTTTAGTATCTTAATTATCAAATACTGGTATGAAGCCGAGGCACCCATTTTTATCCTAAGTACTACTACTGAAATTCCGGGCTCAAAGCGGGGCACGTGCCCCACCTAGCCCCCCTTAGGTCCTCCACTGTATGTGACAAGTTTGAATTTTTATAATTATTGTGGGTGACGTTTAAGCATAGATCCTTGGAAAAATTTCGACTGACAAATAAATTCCACCTGACTTTTGGTAGGGTAAATCTCAAATAATTTAAAAAACAAAAACCTTTGTTGAAATTGGGGGATCAACGTTGATTTTGGATCAACTTCACTTCTCGCCTCTTACTCAAATTGAGGTGATTTTGCCGGGTTTTGAATCATTCGAGGGAGTTAGAATGTTTTTATTTGGACTATAATTTGCTGGTTTGGTTTGATCTGGTCTGATCTGGTCTGGTCTAAACTAGTCTAGTCTGATCTAGTTTCTTTGTATTTTTATAACTAATTAAGTCTGGCCCGGTCTGGTCTGGAACAAATTACAGTCCAAGTAAAAACATCCTTAGAGTGCAAAGACATTTGATATCTTTTTTGGGTTGAGGTGATCCGGAACAAGGAAATTTAGACTTAATGAATTGCCTTCATCTCAATAGTTTGAGGGGTGTTTGGATATGCTTCTAAAGTACTTCCGGTGCTCTAATTTACTCATAGAATCAGTTTTTTAGAAGCTGAGGAAGACCAGATTCTAGAAACTAATTCTGATTCTAATTCTGCTTTAAAAAAGAAGCAAAAAGAGAATTAGTTCCGAACACCCTTTGAATCTGCAATTTGGTAATGAACAAAAACAATCTATGGATGGATCCAACCCACAATCGTTTTGTGCCCACGGTAAACTACAAATTATGTTTACTAATTTAGAATTATGTAAATATTGTCTTGAAGCATTTCATTACCAAAAAAGTCATGGCAGTGGCTCTTCTCTTTTCGTGCCCTAAGATCTTTCTATATTTGTCAATCCAATCTAGAAGAATGTCGTTCTATGTTTGTATTTTAAAATACCTTAGAAACTCAAATGATGACCGCCCATCCCTTAGGGTTTCCAGAATTGATTGTACAATTAACTGAGTATTAACCAAAACAGCACTTCATGCAGTCCCATGAGTAGCTTACGTGAAGATGCATATAGAGTAGTACAACTTACTATTAGTTGGTTGAGATATTGTTAAACAGTTGGCTAGATATTTTCTACTCTCGTTAATATCTTTGTACTATAAATGCATGTTGTTCAAGCTCTATACAAGTAATGAGATCATTTTTTATCTTTCATCTTCTTCTTCCGCTTATCTTTACTAATATGGTATCAAATGTTCATCGTTTTCCCGCGTTTTGATATCATTTCATCATGGTAGTCACTAGATCCACCTCTCACAGTTTAGAATCTACTCCAGATCATCTTGTAAATCTATTTAATCCATTGTACCTTCATTAAAATGAGAATCCTACTCTAGTTCTTATTTCAGTTCTTCTTAACGAGAAGAACTATCATTCATGGAAACATCAAATGCTCGCAATGTTGGAATCCAAGAACAAACATAGGTTTGTTGATGGCTCATTTCCTTCACCATCCATCAGTGATCCTCTCTATGCACCATGGAGAAGGTGCAACCGCATGGTTATGGCGTGGCTTATGAGATCAATGACTTCTCATATTGCAGAATCAGTGTTATACTTTGAAGCAACCACAACAATTTTGAAGGATCTTTCTGCTCAATTCTCACATGGAGATATGTTTCGTATCGCAGATCTAACTGAGGAAATTCAACAAGTTCGTCAAGGATCGCCTTCGGTAACTCAATATTTCACTAAACTTCAGACTTTATGGAAAGAATTATAACAATTTCGCACTATTTTGATTTGTAAATGTTCTACTACTTGCTCTTGTGGAATTTTGGAGAAAATTATCAAAGAACGAGAAGATGAATGTACTATCAAATTTCTTAGAGGCCTGAATGAAGAGTTTTCTCAAACCAGATCACATATCATGATAATTGCTCCTATGCCTACTTTAACCAAAGTTTTCTCTCTAATTCTGCAACATGAAAGAGAATTTGGATCCATCACTTCTCAGAATATATTCAATACAACTTCATGCAATGCTGTGACTCAAGTTCCACCTCAAAACATTCAGTATGCTAGAGGTTCTTCTAATGTTAGAGGCAATTTTCAGAACAATCGTGGTGGTGGTAGGAATCCTTCAGGTGGAAGAGGCAGAGGAAACCGTTATTGTGAGCAATGAGCAATCCGTAACATATATATGTTCCCATTTGAAAAGTAGGTAGATTAAGAATAGTGAAGGTGGATATAAATTATTGAGGGTATGATGGGAAGATAGTTAAATAATGTGTTGGAATTAAGGATAAATCCAAAAAGAGTAAGTGTAATAGTGTATTATTTTTAAAATTATTGAGAGTATGATTGGAAGATTATGAAATGGGAAGATATGAATGTTACATCCAAAAAAGGAAAGTGGGAAGATATAAATGTTAGGGAGGGAGTATATGGCTATCCTCCAGGCTACAAATCAAAATACAACAATGCTTCTGCTTCTTCATCTGCTAATATGGACTCCATTGATCCTAATGCAAACTCTCAGTTGTCAAATTCTGCACGTACACTAGCTTCAGATCAATTTACTTTATCTCAAGAGCAAATTCAAGGAATTATGACACTTCTTCAACACTCTCAACCCAACTCCCAACCTGCTTCACATACCGTCAACCAAGTTCATACCAATTCTTTGGTACTTCCTGGTAAACCATCTAATATTTACTCTTGGATTGATCATGGACAGTGGTGCTACTGATCATATATGTCCATCCAAAAATCTTTTCTCTTCTTTACACCCTATCCTTTCTATTCATATATAAATCTGCCTAATCGTTCATCTGTCACAGCTCAACACTCTGGCACAGTCATCTTAGGACAGTTAACTCTTCAAGTGTGTGTAGAATTATATGCCCGCATCTTTACACATATATATTAAAGTTTGGTGCAGGGGCGGAGCTACTAGGGGGTCAGGGTCGTCAGCCGACCCCGCTGAAAATTTAAGAGTGTAGAGCTCTGAAATATCTTCGATTTGATATATTATGGCTCTCATAACTCATTACGAGTAAAAAGTTATGACTTCTGCAAAATCAACACTATTTAAGTTTGAAATTAGTAAAATTGTGATGTGTAATATTAATTATATTCACAAAATAGCGTGCAATTCACTCGTTACTTACGTGACATGACTTAGAGACAGAGCAAAGACAACATATTTTACTATTACGAGTGCCTACTCAATAAATGATTCTTTTCTAGTAAGAAATCTTGATACTAAACTGAGTAAGATCGAAGAGAACCAGAGTACCAGGGTAAGACAATGGGTCTCATTTGAGGTACTCAACTCAACCCGTATAAAACAATTTTATAATATATGTGACATATACGAAGTATATTAACTACACATACTCTATTAGTTTCATTTAAACTATAATTTATCTAAGCTATATTCAATTCGGGTATTGTCTAAAAATAATTTACCGTTTGATTCTATGTAAATTTGATTTCGACCCCGCTGAGTCCCTTGTTTGGTGTGTTGGGTTTAATTTGTTAGTGGTTCACGGTTCCTTTAGTTCATCATAACTTGGTGACTTTAAATTAAGTAGTCATCCTTAGAGCAGCATTTTGGCGGGCAAATAAATTCCAACAATTAATAATTTAGAGAAATCATCATGTCAGGCCGGCCTGACCGGCAGAGCCGTCCGGCCGAGCCCTTTTGGCGACCTTCCTGGTGGAATTTTTTGATGAATTTTTTTGAGCATGTTGCTCATCAAGTCTAGTTTGTCCATACCAAATTTCAGCTCAAAATTCGATCAGGAAGACATTCAAATCTTTTTTTGAAGTTGACTGCGTTTTTATATGTATATTTTGATGCAGTCAACTTAAAAAAATGATTTGAGTGCCTTTCCGATTGAATTTTTAGCTGAAATTTGGTATGGATAAACTAGACTTGATGAGGAACATGCTCAAAAAATTTCATCAAAAAATTCCACCGGGTAGGTGCCCAAACGGGCTCGGCCGGACGGCTCTGCCGGTCAGGCCGGCCTGACATGAAGAGTTCTCTCTAATAATTTAATATTGTCAAATTACATATATGATATTAATATTGTTATTATTATACTTCGTATTAATTATGTTAAATAACGTCAAAATACTTATGGCGCAGAAAGCACTCGCTTTAAAGACGGAAGAATGAAAGGTTTTGCCTTTATTTAGAGGGAAAATATAGTATTCTCAGCTCTATTATTGTTTTTTCTCCGAGAATTTCAAACCTCTTCAAGTTGAATTGAACTAGCCATCTGTCTAATTGTCTTAAAGGCTCTTTTAATCGTTAATTCGTATGAATCGCACAAACTATTTGGGTCTAACACGTAACTACAATTAGATTGTCTCATTAATTATTGTTTCTTTTCTATAGTTCGTTGACACGTACACGACATACTTGAGATGTTCTTTGTCACACTTATCCTTTTTTGTACTTTATTTATTTAATATTTGTAGCTAGCTTAGCTCGATATTTTTGGTAACGCGTATAAAGCAAAGTTCTTCCCCACACAGTTCTAATCATTGGTGATTTGGTGTCTTTACATTTCAATTCATACCTATATATAAACCCCTAAAACCTTCTCTTAGATTATATTCAACATTTCTAGAAAAGAAATCAGATTAATTAAACATTCTTGAAATATTTTTTAGTAAGGAGGTAACGAATAAGTATTGTTAATTTGTTACCAAGATGGGCCTAGTTTCGCTCATTATGCTCATTTCCACAATGCTCCACTCAAACAATGACCAAAATACCCTTATCACCAACACATGCATGAACACCCCAAACTACCCTCTTTGCGTCTCAACCCTACAGTCCGACACCCGGAGCTTCGACACCGATGCTAACGTCGAAACTCTCGCCCTCGTCATGGTGGCCGCCATCAGGTCAAGAGCCCGCGAGATCAAGGTCATGATACCGGAGCTCAAGGCTGCCAAACCTGAGTGGGGAGGGCCGCTCAGCCAATGCTACTTCTACTACGACACTGTTTTGAGGGCTGACGTGCCGGAGGCGGAGATGGGTATCAAGAGAGGCGTCCCGAAGTTTGCGGTGGCGGGGATGGCAGACGCGGCGGTTGAAGCCGAAAACTGCGACGCCGCGTTTAAGGGTTTGGGAATTACGGATTCACCCTTGAAGGATGTCAACAAGAATGTGATGGATCTGTCTGCTGTGGCTAACTCGATCATCAAGAAGTTGTTATGAACTTATGACCGTTAATTGAGTATTTGATTTGATTATAGTGCATTTTGAATAAAGTGTTGTTTTTACGGTAGCACTACCTGGCATGCAAAATTTCACATTGATGTTTATTGGAAAAAGGGTCAAATACACCCACATACTATATCAAATGAATCACTTCAGCCCATCTACTTTAAAAAGCATCAAATAAATACATTTACTAATTAAAAAACATCATTTGAACCCACTTACCGGATGACAACCCTTTGCTCTAGGTCACAGGCTGATTTGACATACCTTTGTCCCCTTTTAATTACCTTTTTCATTTTCTTTTCCTACCTCTATGAGTCTATGTGTATTGTACGTAGTACTTACTATACTCCTAATTTTGTATGTTTCGTATAAGTAGTATTTCCCAACTTTCCGACTTACTGGGATTCTTTCTTTTACTCGCTCCGTTTCTTTTTTATTGGTCCTTCTTTCTTTTTTGGGACGTTTTTTTTTATTTGTCCTCCTTTCTCTTTAAGGAAAGTTTTTGAAAAAATACCCCCATTTTTATTACTTATACCCCACTTACTTTTTACAAACTACTTTCTCTTTCCTACTTTACCATCACTTTACTCTTCTTGATACACTCTCTTTCCTACTTTATCTTCACTTTACTCTTTTTAATATACCATCTTTCCTACTTTACCATTTACCATACACACTCTATACTTACCCTACTACTTTATTATTAAAACCCGTGCCAAACCCTAAGAGGACTAATAAAAAGAACGAATCGGAGGGAGTAGTTTTTTTCCTTTTCTTTCTCTCTTTGTCTTATCTTTTGATTTATGCTCTTCTGATCTTCTTCCTCTTTGAATCAAAGAATACGGATCATATTTTAGAAGCTCTAAAATCATTTTTCCATTTTTCTAATTTCTATATTTCCTTTTTAGGAATATGAATAAATTATACACTTTTTGCATACATGCTCAAAATTCCTAGCTTATACCCACTGTTTTTGTACTTAAATTTAGGATATATACAAAAAAACGTCAAACGTAAAACCCGGATTTTAAAGATGGAAAACGTCTGGCAAATAAAAAAAAAATCAAATAATGCTACTCCGTAAAATGATGTACAACTTTTGAGCCTGTTTGATTGTTTACACATTAAAACTTTACATGTAAAATGATTGCACGTAAAGTTTAGTGTGGTGAAATAGTTTGCATGTAAAATAGAAATATATCGTTTGGTCATGATGTAATCTCTTTTTAAATTACACACAAACTTTTGAAAACATATAAATCCGAAATTGACTTCTTTCCAAGGCAGGGAAACATGTGCTCATCTAATACGGCTTGTAGTATAATGGCACTAGTTAATTTTAATATATTTGCATTATTTTATTTCTTTGGGACATAAATGCTTAGGTTTTTGTTTCCTAGTTGATTTCAATTCTATTATTTTACCAAGGACTCTGCTTATATTTAACCGGGTTATATGGATGATCGAAGACAAAACATTATACTTCGTATATTAGATGAGAGCGATGTTCTTGATGACTTGTTGAAGGTAATTGCCTACCATCTTTTTGCTGTGGTTCGCTGGTGTACCAACCACCAAATCTTCAATATTAAATGCACTTCCCGCCAGAATCTAGGTTTCCCGCCTAATTAGTGGGGACGTTCGTCCACCCGGGGAGCGAGCTGGATCGCTCCAAGTGGCCCTCAAGAGGTATCGGCTTTTCGGACTGTTTTAAATATATTTTATTTTATCGGGTCAAAAAAATATATTATGTGTCCTCAATCGTTATGACCCTCATAGTGAATATACATTCCCCAACTTTAGTTTATAAGTTCCCGAAATTCATTTCTGGCTTTTATCTGTTAAATTACCAGTACCGGTATTTTGGCCCTTTTGATCAACCGGTCAACTCTATATTATTTCTTTGGACCAAATAAATTATCCACCACTATATAAATATTATATTGACCAAGATGAATAAAATATACGGTCTCGGGAATATCGGGCGGCCCCCGCTCCCGGTGCGGGCCCCACGTGCGAATTTACTATTCACGCAAAAACATTAATGAAAAATTCACAACTTCGAATACTCGTTAACCATTCCATAAGTTCAATACATTATTTACTTAAAAGTAAATACTTTTTGGGGGCGGTGTTACAGTTTTTCGGCTTATCAGGCTTATCAGTCAACTTTTTCACCAAACACGTAACTTTTGCTTTCGCGTGCTGAATTGTGTAATAAGCAAAAAAAGCAAGGTTAAAGTTACTTTTCTGGCTGTATTGGCTGAAGTTACTGTGGATGACCATTTTAGCTATTTTTACATATAATTTTTTCTTTATTTTATTAATAACATACGTAGTATATTTTAAAAATAATTTTTTCCTTAATCAACAGAATCAGCCAATGCAGCCACTTCAGTCAGAACATCATAAATTTCAGCAGAATCAGCCAAACCAATCGATTTTCATGCTATCAAACGGGCTCTTAATGTATCAATTTCCCCTAGAACACTAGTAACTAAAGTCTATAAATACTTCATGTATATCTCCTATCAAAGGACCGAATTCCGGATTAATAATGACGCTTTACGCTGCTCAAATTTCATTTGCTCTCGTATATATAGCTCTTATAGTTGGATTAAACTCCATCACCTTCGTTTTTAAATAAGTGCAATATGTTGAATTTTACACTATTCACATGTTCTATTTTCATTAAAAAAATAAAAAAAAATCGTGTTTAAATTTGTCCCACTGTAAATTTTCAAAATATTATTTTCAATTTAAAAAAAAATATTAATGGTCACAATTGTGCATCGACAATTTTGAAAAATGTACTGTTGCACTTATTTAAGATCAGATGTCATATATTGTATGAAAAGTCATAAAAATAGAAAAATAATTTTAGATCATTTTCCCAAATTTCTTAAATTTAAATAAGAGAAGCAAAGTAAAAATAACGGGTTTTTTTTACATTGTGTGAAATTGTGAATCTACTCTAGTGGAGGACAAAAAAGTAAAAAGAATGAAAATAAAAAGCAAGAAAGTTTCATAAAAAAAAAAAAAGCAAGAAAGTAAAAGAACGGAGGAGAGAAAGCTGTCACGAGGTAGAGAACTACTGTACGGAGTAGTTATTCGTATATACGGTACTACGTACTTTGTATGGGACACTGTATATGACACGTAAGAACACAAAATAGAGAAAGTAAATAAGAAATGAGAAAAATATGTCACGTCAACCAATAACTTGCTATTGGGGGTTGTCATCCGGTCACTTGACCAAATTGATTGTTTTTTAGTAGTAAGTGCATCTATTTGATGCTTTTTAAAGTAGATGGGTTGAAGTGATTCATTTGATATAGTAGATGGGTGTATCTGACCCTTTTTCCATGTTTATTTAATACTTCGGGTACTTCGTACTACGTATAATAATTAAAGAGATTAAAGTGTTCCTTTTTAAAGTAGGACTCATACGTAGTTTTATTCTACATAGTATGGAGTATATGAATAAGATAAGTGATTGATGTGATTTTTACATTTAGGAAAAATGAATTTGTGTGATTAACAGATATTAGATAGTTATAAGTTTGAAAAGTAATAATGTATCGTGTGTTGTCAAACTTAGTTAATTAAGACTTAGTAGTCCATCAAACTTAGTTAAGTTTGATGGGGTGCAAAGTCAAAGGTGTTCTAAAATGGAGTACAAAATTCAATATTACCCAAAAATGGCGGGTGCAAAATCAAATTCCCCCAAAATTTTGGAAAATAAATAACCTCAAATTGGGTTTATTCAAGTCTTACCAGTCCATCAAACTTAGTTAAGTTTGATGAGTGCAAAGTCAAATATTTTCTAAAAAGAAGTGCAAAGTCCAATATCAACCAAAAAAGGTGGGGTGTAAAATCAAATTCCCAAAATTGATACGCTTTGGATACGCATTCGTACATGCTTTGGATACGCTTCACCGCGTAACGTGTGTTTGTCAAATTAGCTCTTACACATGCAACACACGTCCGAATGAAAATTATACAAAAAAAAATCTTTTTACACTTGTTAAACAAAATCTTTATAAACGTTTGTGAATAGTTATTATTATGTTTGTGAATATTTTGTCTGTGAACATGCTGTTCCTAAACAAAAAACAAGTAAAACGATGTCTACAAAAAATGTGTAGAAGAATTTTTTTATGAAAAAATTACATAAATATGACCAAAATAAAGATGGTTTACAAAAATATGATTCATTACTAGAGTAGTAATGAAATCATAGTAATTCATGTTCAAGTTTTGAACTTTAGTTACCACAGCACTACGTTGTAGTAATGAATAGTCATATTTTTGTAAATAAGTTTTATTTTAGTAATATTCTCATAAAAAATCCTTTTTTTATTATACCAACCAGTCAACCACTTATGTATGTCACAAATATTAGTAGTGCTTTTCTTGAAAATTGATGTTTGTAAACGCCCGCCCTTTGCAGCCTCGTCAGGAAGTTTTTACTTAGAATTGTAATTTGCTAGTCTGATCTGGTCTGATCTTATCTGAACTGGTCTGTTCTCTTTGTATTTTTATAAGTATCCAAGTTTGATCTGGTCTGGTCTGATCTGGTCTGTTTGGTCTATTTTGGTCTGGTCTGGATTGATCTGGTCTGGGATAAATTACAGTCCGAGTAGAAACATCTTTATGTATTAGTTACACGTAGGTTTTTTTTCCTGTGAATAGATTATTTACTTTTTTTTTATCTAAAATGAAATATAATAATCTGTCGAAAGTAAAAAATGGGCATATAATACAACGTGCAAGCCGGATAGCGTGTACAAAAAGAAGTGTTGATGCTCTCATAGTCCACTACTTATACCGTACAACTGGAGCATGCACCATGCTCCACAACTTTTATGTACTCCGTATTAGACTCTTACCAAGTTACCAATTCTTACTCTTTCATTTATGATTTACGATTTTCTTATTTATTACGAGTAGTTTATTTTCCTTAATTAATAATAATATCTGAAGTTATTCAAAAAAATATCTGAAGTTATTTTTTTTGAAAGAATATCTGAAGTTATTTAGTTCTCTAATTTAATTAGCTCAAGTAAAATATTTTCTAATTATACTGTAATCGATAATTATTACTTTCTGGTGTTGTTGTAGCTTAATTATTTATTCAAAATATGGAGTTTTTTGTTGATAATTTTCCCCT